ATAATAATAATAATAATAATAATAATAATAATAATAATAATAATAATAATAATAATAATAATAAAGGTCTTTATTATATGCAAAAAAAATAAACAATAAAGTAAAATACAAAAAAGAAAAATAAAACAAAACGTGCATATAAAAGTCGAGGATCAGATGGGTGTAGAATGCCAAACTCGCGATTGCACACCCCATCTTAAGCTAAGCAAAAGTATTAAGTAAAATAGTCTTGAGACATGTTTACTAAACATGTTGCACATCTAAACATTCAAAAAGAAAAAAAAAGATGAAAAAAGAAAAAACTAAATCAGGCTTAATTAAAGGCTTGGTTGGATAAAAGTAATTTTTTCAAAGTTTGTTTAAATCTAGCAGAGTTGAGGTTTTTAAACGAATGAGGTAAGCTGTTGTATAATTGAGTAATTTGATATTAGAAAGACCTCTTAAATAACTCAGTGGAATAGAGTGGAAGGGTAAGTAATATAAGTTTTAATTTTCATGAACACATGAACTACAGTATACTCGTAGACTACTTGTTTAATAAAAAATTAATGCTATTTAGTATTAATAAAGAATAATAATTTTATGAAAAAAAACACTACTTTTATGTTCAGCAACAGAACCGGAAAAACAAAATATTCCACCATGCTTTTTAAAGGTAAAATTTTTGAATAAAATTGGTATAAAACTATGTGCTATCATTTTCTTTAAATTGAAATATAGTTGATTAAGTAAAATCATCGGCCATGGTTATCACTGTTATAAGTAAAGTTTGATTCGAAGCAAATCCTAATTATTTATAAATAGTATAGAATCAGACTTTTCGACACGTTGTACCTACATATATATATATATATATATATACAGGGTGTCTCAGAAAAAGTGTAGGAGCCGAAGATTGCAGATTCTTCTGCGAAGTATAATGGCGTATTTGAAAGAAAATAATGTCGATCTCAAATAGARTTTAAATGATTAACATTTTAAATTGGCCAATCGTGAGGGATTTTCTRATTAATTTCTTAGGTATAAGTTACGTTGCCAAGTTAAATGCAAAAATTGAAAGTTTGGGTTTCTTTGAAAAAATATCTGGTCAACTAGTGAAGGGTCAGTGTCACATAAATTGTCACGAGAAACTTCACTTGTATTTGTCCATTATTTTTTTCATTATCGTGGTCTAAATAGTGTTGGTGAAAATGTTTGCTCCTAATGAAAACCTTGAAATGGTAATTATGTACGGCGAATGCAATAGAAATGCCAATGAGGCAACGAGGCAGTATAGTATAGAAATGCATGGTGGTCATTTTGAACAACTTCTTTTACGTTTATTTATTGTTCTGTTGGTTTTATTTTGTTTGTTTTCAGTTCTTTTTTTATTTATTCGAGCTATTAATAAAAAGTTCTTGGTTGCTTATGTTAAAAAATATTGTTAGTTTATTTGCCCAAAAGACACTAAATTCGTCCTCATTGCTTTAAAATTTTCCACATAACATTGTTACAATTAGAGCTATTGTGATGTAACTTCGGAAGTAATCTTCTCATTGTTATTTTTATTGGGGGCCATAACCTTACCAAACTGGGAAAACTTTACCATCGTGTCATTAAGACATAATAACTACACTATAGGTACTACATTGAAAGGGCCATTAGGTCTAATAAAGAACTCAAATAGTTTCATAAGATTCTTCTCCAAGATGCAAACCTACTTCTTCACCCTCTTTCGTTTCAATTTTCAATAGTTATTAAAACCATTTTGCAGAAGTTGTGTCCAAACTTTCCAACATATTGCATTACTTTTAAATGTGTTGCTTGAACAATTTGAATACTTCGTAGCCACTCGTAGCATACAGGCTTTCCTTTTAGAGACGAAATTTTGAATTGAAATTGACTTGTCAAATGCCATGAATGACGTTACTAATTTACAGTAGACCAGATGAATATTCATGGCTTTGCATCACCCTATTCTTCTTCTGTTTCCTAGCGATCAAAAAATAGGTAGCAGCAAGGTATGACCGAGGCTTTCATAATTGGTCAGTTTCAAGCCTTTATAACTCAAACGTTTTTGGACCCTAAACATTTTTTCTTTCAATATTAGTATTAGCTAACGTAGCAGAAAAGGTGGTTAACAGCACCTACACTTTTTCTGGGACACCCTGTATATATATATGATAATTTAAAACATACATTTCCGTTTGTTACTTCGTTTCATATTCAGTTCGTGTTTGCTCACTTTTCGAAAACTGAAGTATAATGAACACTCACACTTCACACATTTTCCTAAGCAAATGTTTACTGTTTTTTTATTCGTGTAAATTGATTTAAGGAATCAATGAGTCGAGCAAAATCCCGAAATTAGATTTATACCAGTTTCCAGGAAATCGTTCGATATGATATTATGATTTATCGACTGGTAACACGTGCATTAGCGGCGATCGCGGACATACGACCACGATGTATGAATGGATGAGTTCAATGAATGTAATATGTACTTTCTCTATACGTTGTAAAACTTGTAATGTTTATCTTTACTCTTCCTGTTCTCATTTTACATTCTTTTTTTCTAACCCCTTAACATACACTTAATTGTAACATTTATTTTATTATCATGTAAGAATTGTGAATGTATAACAGGCGTCGGGAGATATAAAATAAGAGTTCGTGCACGTGTTATACATAAATATTGTCCCAGCTGTTTTTGAAAAAATAAATCTTCTTGTGGTTTTTAATTATGAAGTTTTTTTGTGGTAGCAGCAATCAATTTAGCGGATGGTTGAATGAAACCACTCGATCTATCATCGTTCTTATTACCATATAAAGTGCTCAATTACATCACACTAAAAATAAATTTCAACTAGCGAACTTTTGGGACTTTTCTATTTTTAGCCGTCGCTCTAAAATGGAATTTCTTATCACGCTGTGTAAATAAAGAAGTAAAATGATGCGGAAGTCGAGTCACAATTCCTTAAATAGACAATCGCAGAATTTAGAAAATAGTGAAACCTTTTACGGGCGTCGGAGTATTCGTAGTCGGCGTCTCGCATTCATACGGACATCTCCGTCGACAATTCGAAGTCGGACAATAGCTACAATAATTCTGCCTGCAGAAGGTGTAGTAACAGTTGTTGTAATTCTGGTAGTAGAGCTGAGCGTAGCGTCTGCATCTCTGTGCCTTCTTTATTTTCCGTTCGCTATGCTCGTGTCTAATTCGAACCGAATTTTGCAAAAACAATTCCGTGTTTCGCTCGTGGTCGTCCAAAGTCGAGTAGAAATTCCGGAGGTAATTCCGGCGCGGCTCCACTTCACCAAAACCAGGAATTAGAATCGCACTCACGACGATCAAAACGTTTGTCCTCATGTTAAAATACCCCGAGATTTATTTTCGGACCACCATCGTCAACCAGCCAGCTCCTCTAGACCCAAAAATCTACCGCAAAATTTTGGGATTTCGACCACTCTGGCTTGATTTTTTTCGCTAGCATTTTACTTTTCGAGACACACGTGCGAGAGTTGGTACATCTCTTCGCGTCGAGTCGCGAGATTGAACTGAAGCAAGGCAATGTATCGCGTGTGCCTCCGCGATTAAGTCGCGAGGTAGGTGCCTACATATTAATATTAAACCTGTGAATGGATGCAAATGGCAACATGGATAAATTTAAACGAGACAATGTGATTTATTCGGACGGTGCCGATCTGTCCTCACGATTCTATTTCGTATCGGTGTTAATGAGCTTTCGAGTCGACCGTGAACGCGGATCGGTGTTGAGTTAATTTCTTCGAATATTAATTGGTGGAGTTGAGGACCGCGACGATGGAGCCGTGGGTGTTCGACTTGATGATAGCTCGGAGAGATGTGTGTAAATAAAAAATGGGGAGAGAGCGGAGCGAATGGAGGAATCTTCACTCGGCGATGACCGATGATAGTAAAAAAACACTCCTACAAGTACATCCAAGAGAAACTATTATCAATAATTTTGAATTTTGAATATAGAGAGGTAATGGGCACTTAGAACACTTAAGCAAACACATTTTTGAAGTCACTGAATAGTTATTTTGTTGCTTTGAATCTCTTTTCCAAAAATGTTACAAAAACTAAGATTAACAAAACTTTTTTTTTTCTTTTATTAAACTAATCTTATGTAAGATTTAAACAAACTAAACATATTACATATTTGTGTACTAGATTTTTGTGTTTCTAAAACAGATAACAATACATCTACATCACCTTAGTAGTAATAGCGTGAGCGTTTTATCTGGCGTCAGCTTGAAATTACATTTACTTAAAGCTAAAATGATAAATTTAGTGATAATAATAGAGGTGGTGTTTTTGCTAGTACCGAGAATTAAATTCTTAAAATGTTTGTGTTCAACCAAGTATGGATAAATTTTATCTTAAATTGTATTATAGATCGTGCTGAAATAATAGGTACTTAACCATTTTCTAGATTGTTAAGTATTGTTTTGAAACAAGTCTGTTATAAACTTTTAATCTCCTTTATTAGTCTCCGTCGATACTAATTCCTTTAGGTGAACAACAAGACGGTCGGTGGTCTTATTTTCGTTGTGAAGCATCAGCTTGAGATTTTGGCCTTAAACCGGCGTTTTATTAAAGGAAATATTTAATTTTGTGTAGGTTTTATTTCATTTATTTCCTCGTTTTAATTGGAAGAGGCAAATAATTTTATAATTTTTTTGGTCCTTCTGCATCTCGTATTAGTCACGTACACACAATACATATTTTGTTATTTGAAACAAAATATATTTAGAGATTCAAAACCCAAATCTTCGCTCGGCTGTGAACAAATTTATGGTAGAGAAAACATTAAGCTGACATGAATTTCTCCCTAAATCAAGAAGTTATTGCATAAAACTTGTCTGTTGGTATGTAGTATCATCTGCATTCGCTTCTAATAAAATGTCTAGTGTATTTGCAAAACTACTCAAAAGAAATGAACGTTTTATTAAAATTACAACACTTTATATTTATTTTACTCGTAAATTTTGAACATCAATTTGAAAATAAGAAGGATGAAAATTTTTAATAAAGGAATATTTTTAACCATCGGTTTAGTACCCATAACAGCAAATTTATACAATGTTTTTATAGTCTGAGACTAAATAGTCGTTTTGTTTATTAAAATTTTTCAATAACGCTCTTATTCGCTTCTATAGTTCCGCGTTTATTGTTTATAAGTGCTACTATTCTAAAAATACTGTTGACAAACGTGCCATCTGATAGATAACAGACCGGATGGAAGTACACAACTTGCACTAATTTAATATACGACCGGCCGCGTATGCTGATTTTTTTTAGACATGTTTTTAGACAAAGTCTAAGTCTCAAAGATAAGCAACTAGCAAACAAAATCCGTTGTCTTACCTTTGCATCCAGTTTCCGACAACCCATAATACGCATTCTGGCAAGCATCACAATAAAATCCATCGACTCCCTGCTTGCATTCACAAAGTCCCGTATGTTGGTCACAGATTAATGATGTCGATCCAATCTTGTTACAACCACAAGGCACACACAAGGCTGTCACATTTCCATATCCTGGCTGTTAAAAATCCAATTAATGTAAATTACAAAATCCAGAGTTCTTAAATTTTACGCAAACATTGACAGTGCTTCAAAATTTTTTATATTCTCTATCAAAAACTTCTCAATTCTTAAGATTCTTTAAGTTTTGATTACAAGATTTTTATTAATTGCTAATGTATGTACTTGAGTATTTTTACGGTGCCTGTATGGACTTATTTCCTTTTTCATGACCTTATATTTGAGGTTATTAATTTTAATTTATCATTATTACTAAAAATTAATAATGATCGTTCCAAAAAAGTTGTATTTTGAAACAGAAAAAACAGAACTAAAGTTCAAAACCTTGTTGATAGTTATATTATAAATATTCAAGTATGGCATGCAAGAAGGATATATTAAAGATTATGTTCCGAAGAAAATTTTGTTGGAATTTCATGATGGAAATAATAAAAAATAATTACTTTTAGATGATTAAAAAATCGAGAATGTGCTTTCAATAATAACTTTAACTGTAACTATCTATTATTGTTCAAGTCCTAATTGTAACTTAAATCAATAAATGCATTTTGGTAATTGATAGTACGAATGTTTTAAAAATTTCAAAAATATTCACTCTATGCACGTGTGCAAATATTCGGGTAAAAAATATTTTCATGGTGTATCGAAACTCGATGATATTGGCCCGTGGCTAGGTGTTTTCTGTCATATGCATCAATATAATTGGTTAAAATTTTAACAAATTATATTGGTTTGATTAAGAAATTCATCATTTCATTTTTTTGAATCAGCACTTGTTATCTATTACAAACACTATTATAATTTTTTATTCATTTTTCTTTATTTCACAACCAAGTTTAGAGGCGTTCATCCCCACACTACCAGAACTGTTCGTCTATTTGTAGTGTTTGTATTTTTATTTTAGTTATTTGAAGACCGAAGTCCATAACAGTTGAAATCATTGAATTTCAGGTTAAAATTGATATTGTTCTATTTCATTATTGTGCTATTTTTATCAATTTTAGGTATGTAATGCAACTAGATGAAATATTACCCTAAATTAATCCAGATTGTTATTTATCAGCCTCATTTTAAATCAACTCTTTTCTGTATTTGAAGTGGATATTAAAATTCGAAGTCGACTTTTAAAATAGAATCCTTAAATTTTAACTGTTTTTCTGAAGGTGAATTTTTTCCGATATCGAATTTTATATTTCTTAAAAACTGGACAGAATCTTTAAAATTTGGACTTAAAAAAAAACTTTAAAACAGGGTAAAATCGTTAAAAATATTACTTTGTGAAATCTTTGAAAAATTCGCTTTTTTCAATATACCATAAAAATAGGATAAAATCCTTAAAAAAAGTGTTGTGGAGAGGCCTTAGTAGTGGTAAAAATATTCGCTTTGTTACAAAAATTAAAAACTCAAAATACAGTAAGATATTAATTAAAAAAGAGACACGCAAATTCCTGAGATAACATTAAAATCTTTAAATACCTCACACTTATTACAAGTCCTGCCGGTGAAGCGCTCCCTACACTCGCATTGGCCAGTTTCAAAATCACAACTTTTTGAAAGTGATCCTATTGTATCACACTGGCATGGAATACAATTGGACATTAGGGCATCACCGTAATACCCAAGTTTACACTTTTCACAGCGCCAACCTTAAAAAAAACTTGTGAGGGAGAAAAAAAAATTCACTGTTAAGTACCTTCTGTGTTACCCTTGCAATTCAAACATTGTCCTGTGATTTTATCACAAGGACTTCCGTTACAATCGCAGGGTTTGCATACATTTCCCAGTTCCATCGGATTACCAAAATAGCCGTCGTCACATCTGCAATTAGAAAACTGTAAATGTAATAAATTTAAATTGAAATAGAATACATTTCGCAATGATCTCCCGTATATCCTTTAGGACATTGGGTGCAGACGTAGCTCTCCTCTTCGCTCTCCTCATTTAAATAATCCAACTGACAGCTCGGACTGAAATTATTTTCATCATTTTCCAAGGGACACGCACATTTTTTACAGGCTTCCTTCGTTCCTCGCAATGGATTACCATAAAATCCCGGTTTACATCTTTCGCAGTTTTCACCAGTGGTATTATGTTGACAAAAACATTCGCCTGTGTCGGAATTACAAGTTTCCGAGTGTCCGTTACAATCACATTTCGCACAATAACTTTCAGCTGACGCGTTTGTCTCGATTCTAACGTGGCCGAAAGCACACGACTCGCACGATAATCCTGTATATCCTGAAGGACATAGACACTTTTCCACGTCTAGTGCCGATTGGCTGTCAGCACGCATCGTTGCTTCTTCGAGTAAAGATTCGATTTGGTCGGTGTGAAACGTCGCTCGTAAGAGGATATGACTGATGTTTGACAAGACACTAAGAAATTCGGTGCGAGAAACTGCCAAATTTGAGTCGAGGTGGTACCAATTTTCCTCCTTCAAACGTATCTCAAATGTGGCGTTTGAGACAGTCAAAGATTCGTTCCCATGGGCGATTTTCATACCATTGGCACCCACAATTATCATATTTGGGCCGATTGTGGGCTTCCCACTAGTGTCACCCCTCATTATAACCCAGTGGACTTTAAAAAGAAAAACAGATCCATAATACTCTAATTTATTGTTCAAATACACGTCTGGTGCTAACCAATACAAAGATTCAGAATTGGAAAACTCGTAGCTTCCCATTGAAAAAATCCCCTTGAAGTCCCATATAGGTTTACTAACTTCAGAAATTTTCTGATTCGTTGTCAACCAATTCTCAAGAGTTTGGATCTTAAAATTGGAATACTGGGTCAGTTTTTGTCTAAAGACAAATTGTTAAAGATTGACATACCTGTTTTGGGGTTACGAGGGCAACTTCACACAAATTCGTCATCCCGGAGCAGTAGCAGGGAATGCAGCCGTCAGGATTTTCGCTCTGGAGGAAGAAATAACCGGACTTGCAACGATCGCAAAATTTCCCTTCAACGTTAGTCTGAAAAAAAAATCCAACTTTGAGTAGATTTACTACACTAACTCTAATATTTCGATCCAGTGGCGTAACTTGATGTATAGTTTAAACTATAAACTGTACTGTATAGTTTAAACTAGAAACTGAGAAAAAGTACTAGGAAAAATTACCAATCTGCTGTTTATATTTTGAGAGTAAAACTTGGCATTTGTAATCAGTGTAGACTTAATTTTATTTTTAGAAAGACTGATTTTTTTACCCATTGAAAATATATCTCCTAATAGCTAAAGAATTCTCTTTAATAAAACTCTTTTGACAAAAAGTCAAGATTGCATATAAAATAAAAAACAGTTTTTGTTTCAAAGAATTCAATAAAATAATTAAAAATTAAAAGATTCTTTAGGTAAACCCTAAAAGATTTTTGTTTTTTAAATATTCTTAAGTATTTGTTTAGTTTGAAATCATGTTTTGTTGTTTTGTTTTGTTTAAAATATTTTTGTTTTTTAAATATTCTTAAGTATTTGTTTAGTCTAAAATCATGTTTTGACTTATATTAGTGTTCAAAAATTATGATTAAAAAATTGGACCTTGTATTTGTGAACTCTCGGATGCTTTTTGAAATTATTTGTCACATTTATGCACATTTTGATAACGTGAATCTGAATCCGGAAAATTTTATTCCACTCCTCCCCTAACTAGTTATGAGAAATCGTCCCCACCTTGCAAACACACTCCCCCTCGCAGTCCTCCATGTGCTTCACCCCCCGCGAGTCGCAAGGACACGACTCGCAAGTGGGCCACCCCTTAAACCCTGGCGCGCACTTGTCGCATTTTTCGCCCTCATATCCGGGTAGACAATGGCAATTTCCGGCTCCCTCTCCTTCCTGTATGCATGTACCGGCCGATCCTGGAAGTTCACAGTCACATTTTAAGCAGGGTTTGTCCGCATAAATTACAGTTCCATAAGGTCGATAATACCCCGGCAAGCACCGTTCGCAATTAATACCGGTTGTGTGTGCCTGAAATAGTGAGATCGAGAGATGAAAAAGAAGAGCTAAAAGGTCGATTTCTTACTGTACAATTATCACAAACTCCTCCTCCTTGGTAATTGCCGTTTATGTCCATGCTGAGGCCGGCTTTGTCTACGGACTCGTCGTAGTGGCAGGACGTTGCATGACCGTGGCAGTTGCAGGGGAGGCATTGACGGGCGTCTCGAGATGAACCGGGGCCCCATTGCCGCTGATTGTACATGGGACAACAGCGGTCGCAGTTGGGGCCGCACGTGTGGTGGGCGCATTCGCACTCAGGATGCTGAGAAAAAAAACCTTGAGTGGTAAAACTAAAATATTGACTTCAATTTTTAGTTTAAAAATTTTTGTTTCAAGAGATTTTATTATCGATCGCTCTGTTCTTCATTCCTTCTCTTATTATTAAACAGAGATTTGCAGTTTGTAATTATTGTCATAGTCTGGTACATACATACAGCTGTACTACAAGAGAATTAAGTAAAATAGAATTCTCTTAAAGACAACGTGTATTTTTAAAACTTTATAAAAATTAGGGGCATTACATACATACAGACTGTCTGGAAAGTGGCGCATCTCCTTGAAAGGGTTCCTCAGAGTACTGAAAAAATGTTTAAAAAATTCTATATGTCAAAAAATATTGACATTTATTTATTTGACGTTTGACATTTTTTATTTAATGATACTGATTATATTGTATATGTTTTTTTTATAATTACTGATTATATTGTGTATGTTTTTTTATAATTATTTAGTAAAAATACAGAAAATTTGCTAATAAAGCCACAAATAACATTAAACAGAGTTACATTTTTTCAACAGAAATAAATAGAGTCAAATTGCAAAATTTAAACTCCCATAACTTCGAAATTATTTTAGATATATTTTTTTAACATTTTTCTTGTTGTCTAGAACATTGCCCGATAATACAGTCTTACGGAGGTGCGCGACTTTCCGGACATCCTGTATATGTAATGTTACATTGAAAAAAAAACAAAAATTTAATTTTTAAAATAAAATACTGTTGAATACTTTTCCAATAATTTTAAAAAGATTACTTTAAATTATCGTCAAATTCTATTATGTCATTATGATTACCAGACGAATTAATCGTTGCTACTACAATTGCGGACATGGAATTTTAGACCATCATACGACTGACATAAAAATGTAAAACTGGCCTTATGCAACTAATCTCACTTTCGGTTTTTGTAGTTTTTATACTGACAGCTAGAGAGAAAATGACAACTTAAAATACTTTATTGAACTTATATAAAAACACGTATTGCTGGCATTATTGTTTCGGAAAATCGACGCCTAAAATAAATTAAAACTCAAATTTTAGTTTCAAATGTCAATCATAATGACAATAAAGCATAGCTTACATTGACATTTTTTGAACTGACATAAAGATATCCAAAATTCCGTGATTGCAATTGTACGTTGGTGAACATAAGAATATGTCGATAAGATTTCAAATTAAAAGCATATTAAATAAACTATCATCATTTAAACTTAAAAAAATCACAAAATCTTCAAAAATCCATCTTTTAAAATTTTACTTCCTAATTTGAAACTAGAATTCGAAAATTGAAACTTATCTGAGAATTCTAAGGTTAAAAATAGAAAAAATTAGCTTCCAACTTTATATAGAATCACTTTTTTTTAAAATACTTATTAAAATGTGAATATGATCTTGTCGATTGTTGTAATGTGTTACCCCAGGAATTTATCAAGCCTCCTCGTATATCAAGCGGCGGCTCTAATTTAATCTAATTAACCCAAAAGGGTAAACAATAGAAAATCGCCGATATATATTTAAATGATAACTATCGAACAATACCAAATACAGTATTCCTATGTACCAGCAACTTGTCGTTGGCTGTTCTCGGAAAGGTACCAGGTTTCTTCTTATATGGTATGTCTGGTCAGAGTTTTAAATTGATTAAATACCGATTGTGTGGTTTTTGCCATTGTAAAAAACCGTTTCAGCCGAGAAATTCATTCGTTTTATCCCAGCTGAAATTTTTAATTTTGGTTTCACAGGTTGTAACAAGCCTCGGCCAACTCATCATTCCTGTACCGGTTTTCCGAGACAAGTTATGATAATAAAATTATTATTAGATCTAATTTGAAATGTAAACCTACCCCGGAAGCCACATTATGCCGGCAGTTTTCAGCATGTCCATTACAGACGCAGTAGCCAACGATGCTGATATCCCGAATTGTGTAAAACAATTTTTTCTCTTTTAAAATATCCTGGGAGAACCAGTAAGGAAGGGGTTCGATGGTGCCTCGAAGTCCCATCAGACGTAAACGGACATAACGGGCTTTGGTAAATTCCAGAAGCTCCGGACTCGATTCGTTTGCTCCGGGACGGCCGTTGATCAGAGAAGTGTGAATCTGATTAAACCGGGCGGAAATTGCTTATTTTCCTCCCTGATGATTGTTATATTATTTACCTCGCCGTTTTCCATCGGTGTCAGCTTGGAGTAGAAAGAGGTGCAGATGATTTCGGTGTCGGTAAAATAGTGAGGTTTGCCCTTCGTTCCGGAAATTCCGAAACGTTCGAAACACTCTTTGTCATTACGAGCAAAGTATTGCCAAGGTTCGTAATTCTTGCCGTCGAGGGAACGCTCCAGAATCCAGGTTCCGGGGCGGAGGGAGTTTGCTGATTTAATTATGATGTCAGTGATTTGATATATCTGCAAAATAAAGTCTGTAAATTCTAAATCACAATTTGTATGCTTTCGAATCCTACTTTAACATAGATTGATGAGGTCAAAGCAAAAATTTATGCAAAGATTTATACACGTTCACCAATTGCAGTGTTAGATATCAATTGCACTAGTTAATAAGTAATAAAGAAAGTATTTTTTTTTGTAACATACATGCCAAGGCATTTTTGTCAAATGTAAGTAGCAACTTTTTACTTTATTTTACTTTACAGATTTGCTAACGGTAAATAAGCAAAAAGATCGTATTCAATTAGAAGTAAGGTATATCAAGTCATAGTTTAGATTTCAGAACTACTGAAAATAATACTGACATTCTTCGACTCAGATCTAAAATGAAAATTGATAAGTAACAAAATTTAGCAAGAAAGTGTACTGAAATTCTATGTACATACATATTATGATGTATTATGATTTAATTTAATTTATACATTCCAGTAAGTATCGCTAGTATCTCACTCTCACATACATGAAACGTGAACTATTTTTTTATAGGAATGTCTACAAAAAGACGGTCAGCCGGTACTTGATTTTAAATAACTTTTATCAGGACAATTTACCTAATACAAACTTCTTCAATTTGAGAATGTATGCCGATAAAAAATGTGCAAAGCGAGAGTAGTTTAAAGCAGCTCTTCAATAAGAATAACTTACTCTTTGAGTTCACGATCGTGCAAAATGTAAAAATTGAAATCAAAATAATGAGAAATAAAAATATCTTGAGACTTTTGCTTGTAACTCTTCATTTGGCGAACTCCGCCGTCTTTACCCGTCGATGTAAACCCGAATGATCAGAATTCTAATAAGTAATAACATTTACGAGTAGATTCAAAACCTGAACTTATGAAACTAAAAAAAAACAAATATTTAAGACTCAACTTTAGAATAGAATAAAATTAGAAATCTCGTATTTCTACCACAGTAAACAAAAAATATGTACCTATAACTTTTCTATATATTATAAAGTCACTTTTTAAAAGGTGTCATATACATTTTGCGGATTGAAAGTATAAAATTAAGATAGGCGAGTGAGTTTATTGGTAATTGCCTGTACATCATGAAGGAGTACCATCCCACGTTCAGTACGACAACGACCTTTTTCAATAGCATTCCATCAGTCTTGTAATTTAATAATTATGATAATAGCCATGTTGTAATAAAATCTGGGCAAATTCAGATGGTTATAATTAAATATTTCACGGTTTAAACTTTGAGAAGAGCGATGAAAGTTGTTAAGTGACCACTAGACATTGTAATTGCGTGTAAGAGATACGCCAGAACAAGGGTGTCCAGACCACACACATTTTCCAAGAAATTGAAAAAATTACAAATATAAAATGATTTGATACACCCAGAGATATTAGTTTATGACTTCTTTTCGTGTTGTAAACACACAATAGATGATTATCTCGGACCTTGGAGCCTATTCCGAGTTTATTTTGTCTTCGGATTAATCTGGGATGATGACACTCATATTATTTCGAAACCAAAGTCTGGTAAAGTGGCTCACTATCCGGACAGATTTCCCAACCAGATTCCTTTCAAGGATCAAACAACCTATAACCGAATGCTTCCGTTAATTATCTAGCTTGTAGCCCAGGTGTCACACTCGAGCCGAGAATGTTTTATTTCACATTTTAAAACGGGCGAAAATGTGATTTTGTGGTTGAAAATTTGACTTTCTCTGCCTTTTGTGTTCTCGGTGTTGATGACCCCGATTAACTTAACCGCGTTTCTGGCTTAGTGGGATTTTGAGAATACGATGCTGTATAAAATGACGGATAAAATTCTTAAGTCTTATGATGGCAAGCACTCTGCCAGAATACGACTGGTACATACCAATCAGGGCTGGAGGGTTGCTGCTCCGTTTATTTTAGAGTCAAGCTGCGTAGCCGTCCTTTTCTGGTCGACAGATATTTACCGTTTTACAAATGTTTGACTCAAACAAGAATTAACACCAACTAACTCCTGCTAAGCCACCGATTCCACGAAAAAAGAAATTTTCACAAAGGAATGTGATCGACCAGGGGCGTAACTATACGTCACAGTTCAGATCCGAAAGCCAAAAAGATCACTTTCTGTTAATCATCTCAAATTAAAAGCACTACATTATGGTGTTGCTGGTAGTGTGAAGAATTTTGTAATTAGTTTTATTCCGATATCGATTTCTTGTCGCATCCGAGCAGTTATCGACCAAATTACAAGTTAAAATATTGCCGTCACGTTCTTATCATTTTCTCGTGGAACAATCAGTCCAATTAAGCACTTACCTGTTTGAGATCGATAGTAATTGTGACATATTCGTATTTACTGCCGTAAAACAGTGCCGGACTCTGCCACCAGCGATGTGTGCCGTCGATCGCGTAGCTAATTGGATGCTTTTTTCCCGGATCGGTGCTGAAATTATCACAGATTCCGCATCGTCCTTTCCCACCTTCGAGCATCCTGCAGAACTCTTCACGGCCATTTTCGCCACAAGTTGCGTTCGCAGAAATTATAGCTTTCGTGGCTAAGTTGAACGATGATGGCCACAAACCGAAATTGGAAGAGACGTTTCGTCGGACGTGATTGAAGTTTTTGAAATGCTTGTGTCCTGCGGAAAAAATACAATCACGATTTAGACCGGCTTACGACCTACCCTAATGAGCAAGAAGTTGTAGCACATAAGAGGACTAAATTAAAATTACATTTTTGAAGACGAACTTCACACAACTTATTTATATACGAATATAAATATCTCAGACGGCAGATGTTTATATTCGCGAACACCACGAGAAACTTTATCCTTTTAAGAATTTGCAACAAATTTAATATAAAAGACCCTGACCTGAGAGAAAACCGGATAATGCGTCCAGAAATAACCCGAGACATTATTCACTACATTGTGTGAGGAAATGGCTGTTTTATCAAAACGATTTCAATTAAAATTACTGATCTAACTATTGCAATAATTATCATAATTAAAACGGTTGAATGATGAATCAAATATCGTAGGTATGCAGATGAATATCTTGCTTACGAAATTGAGGCTAGGCACATATTTAATGCAAGACACAAAAGAATTCTTTAATTGACAAATTTATGTGCAGTAGGATGCTCTTTTATTTTTTCGGATTAAATATTCGAAATTTTCTCGGTACGTTTCGTTCGGTAATTGGCAATTAAAGCTTTCCTGAATAATTGGCGACTTCGAGGAACCAGTTTTCTCATTTTGACCAAAAAGTAAGTTGGCTTATTTTCGCTGAAACCACGAAAATATCAGTACAATACACCCAAATTGCCATGGGAATGTACCGTCAAGCACGAGAGCCTCATTCTTTTATATTTCTCAAGAACTAAATTGTGATGTACGTACTTTATAATTGGGAAACACTGGAATTATTTTACTTAAAAGATTGTTTTTGATATTTTTTGTTTTAAAAATTCACTACTTATTAAAAATAGGAGTCTTTGTAAGAGTTACCTATACTAAACATTGATTGAATCTTTTTATTTAAACATTCTAAATAGTTGTCTAAATAGAGTTAGTCGTTTTACCAAATATAATAATTTTTTTTTTTAATACTAGATCAACTTAGGAAGTAACAATTATTTTTCTTATGGTTTGATTCTTTAATTTCATATAAGTTTTGATTTTAAATTCTTTGCTTTTGTAGTGCTCATAAAAAGATGTAATGAGAGAAAAGTCTTTCTCCTTTTTTTTTCTTAATCAGTTTGTCAGGGGAGGCCAGATAGGCAGTGCTTGCCCAAAGGAAATTGTTTTTTAAAAATTCTTCCAGTTTCTATTAAGGCAAAAAAATAACAAATAATTTATTTTAAATAACATAAAAAAAATTGATAACGTCATTAAAATCTAAAAAATAGCAAATTAATAAGTTGATAATAACCAATGTCTAACTGCATTTTATTATTCTTACTTTTTTGCCTATATCGACGTCGCTGGAGGCAAACTATGATTATACCTCTAAGGCTCGGTTTTTGAAACGATTTATCGTTAAACAAATTTTATTCGTAATTTTTAAAGAAACAATAGCAGCGCTACTTAGGGCCAGTTTCACCAACGTTTGTTGTTATCGTATCTGTTTTAAATTTAACTAACGTTGATAAATTTTATCGAAATGATGAAATTTATCTAAAAAGCGGACGTAAGATAGACAAAATTAGCGCACATATGTGCAATTTTTGCCTACATAAATGTTCGTATTCTTAAAATTCTCATATTGACATGAAGACTGCATGACCGAAAGCGGTATACCTTCGGCATGAACACGTCTGCGCTAGGTTTGAATTCAGTTGGGTTGAAGAATTGAATTGAAATAATATACTTACATTGTATAATTTTGTTTACAAAACATTTAATTAAAGAAAAATTATAATTTGCGATTAGCATGACGACGGTTGCCAAAAAGTAAATGAGGCCATAATTCTAATTAGTTCTCAAATATAACAAAAATTGAAACTTTTAAGATGTAAGACTATATGGTTTGTAAAAAAATTATAATGTTTTATAAACAACAATAGATAAGTCAAAGAGGACTGTTTACGAATTGTGAGACAATAGTTATTGAAAAGAAAGATTGCTAAAAAAATATGAGGACATCTTTGCAAACCTAAAAAATCGACAAATACCTTTGTTTACAAACATCGTAACATATTCCCAGGTAATTTTTAAAACTTCTTTGGTAAGAAAATTATCGACTTCTTAAATAATTTCACAAAATATAGATATACCTACGAGTATAAGCAAAATATTTGAACCTTCTTTAAAGTGTTTTAATTTACAATTGTTTCGAAGCTATAAAAGTTTAATAAAGTTTTCCTATTTGGTACAAATGTCGTCGTCCTCCTCGATTAACAAATCCACGAGCCGCCACTGATCCAAATGCACCAAAAAATTTAAAAAATAAGTGCGTTCGGTCCTTTCTTTTGTGAAGCCTGTCCTATCATTATGTTGTCTCAGGAAAGAACTCAATTCTCCAACCTGAACGATATAGAAATGGATTGTTTTTCTCACTTGCGGAAATAAATCTTGCCGTCTTGAAAAATGTTTCAGGTCAATTATGCGAACCATCGGCGGATTGTAATTTTTTTATTGTCTTTTGCCTCATTACAAGTAAATTTCTCATTTTGCAGCAAAGTAGTCATTCGTCTCGAGATGTTTGGTATACCGTATTATAATAAAATATCCCGTCCGAAGGAATCCATCCTTGTTACCCCGATATCTGGAATTATTAGTGAGTAAGAGACATCCTGTGTAAGCCGTTGGGTCGATGACTTTCTTCTTATATTGCGTTATGTCGTCTTGTTTGTATGTACCCATAAAGGGAATCATTCCGCAAGAGATCATTATAGGTATCAATTCCACTTTTAAATCATTTATCAAATACTTCTGGGGCAATATTTTTTAAATTCTTATATAAATAAGTACCAGCCGTTTGAATGATTCAAGTAGACATATTTTATTAATGCCGCTTATTAACGAACGAAATTTCTTAATAGGACTTTGGAAATGACATGCCATAATATGTGTTATTAGTATCAATCACATGAGAGCGGATTCTTTCTTATTAAAGGAAAGGTCGGTATTATACGAAACACAATAGAAGCGAACGTGATTCAAAAGAACTACTATGGAAATTAAAATAGCAGTCAGGGCATTTTTTTAAATGACATTTACTACCAACCATTAAATTGAAAATTTTAAAAGGGCATCTCAAAAAAAAAGGCCGGGCTTGTTCACCGGTATTGTATTATCCATCAGTGGTTTTTTCCTTTCATATATTATTTCAAGTGAGTGATAGCCAAAAAAGAAGTGTATGATTGGAGATCATTAACGGTGCGTTGTTAAAAACGCATTTCAGTTTTATTGGGTAAATGGAATTTAGGACTCAAAGTAATGAAACTTTTAAACGACCAAGTTTCTCTGCACTTGTATTGTTTGCAAATTTTTATCATCAAATCTTAAGAAGCTTACAAAAGAGTATACACTATATTAGTACCTATACATTTATAAAATGTTTCCTTCTTCGTAACCAACTAGAAATGCTTTCAAAATTAAAAAACTACGTCAAAGGCCAGTAATAAATAGATTTAAATTTTCTCTGTAAAATATTTTGATTTCTTTGAAGTCTAAAATAGATGCAGGTAGTAGGAAAAGCATAAATTAGATTTCCTTTTGTTCTCTTTATTCTTTTAACTCGTACATCATTTCATCCGTCCATCCATTGTGAAAAAAATAATTAAATCGATTTCTTGAGCTATACAATTTAATCAAAATATGATTGGATCAAATAAAGTATAATAATAAAATATGTTATAAAGATATTTTAATGTCAATTTTCTTTACAACATTTGGCTGTTATATTTTAATCTCTATAACAAATTTATTATAAGAATACTGTTATTCTGTAATAGTCGTAAAAAATATTTTGACATTTTTATTTAACAATGTTATTAAAAACACAAAACAAAAAAAATAGGAATACTTCTTTGTAACAGAAAAAATTTCACCAAGTTTTCTTTATTCTGACTTAAGTTATGATTAAAAAAGGTCTAAAGGTGGGTACAATGAAAAAAATAAGAGTTATTGACTCTTGTACATTTTTCCTTTAGCCTTGTATGTTTATAGCCATTTTAAATAACTTTTTGAAGTGGTGTGTATTGTGACCAAGCAGGTAGAAATGGGCACGAGGTGACAACCGTACTTTATTGTCCTAAAGGGCCAGTGTTAAAAGTGAAGGAGGTAATAAGGATTTTTTCTGAGGATTTCTAATGGTCCCTGTCTGTTTTTTTCAAACTAAATACAGACAAACCAAATTTACGACTACTTTTTGATATGCTTCTGTCAGATGTGTGTAATTGTGTATTTTATTTATTTACGTTGTCACTCCGATGGAAGGCCGGCATATGCATATCCGACAATAAATCATGGTATTTTTTCTACCCACTGCGATATTATCATTTATGAATCACAAATTAACATAGTAATTTATTAATTCCGGATAAAAATAGTAAAAATATGAGCGCAATGTCTCGAGTAATTATATGTGAAGAATCTGTGCTACCTTGTTTTTTAAATCTTCCGGCCTCTGCGAGAAAAAATGTACACAACAACAGCACGGTCGTTCTAAGCCACATTTTCCGTTTATTTTTAACACTCATTCCAAATTCGAATCACTTATTTTTAAGCAGGCATTTTTTCTATCATCACACATAATTTAAAAATTCGAAAGCTCGTCGAGATTTAGACAAAAAGCACGTGGCGGCCGCCTCGAGACGTCTCGGGACACAAACTCCACGGTACTGTTGGATCGGAAACTGAGGTGAGTTTACCTTTATGCAGCTGAAATAACTCGAATAGCCGCCTCTTGGCTCTTGAGCGTCTAGTGTTTGAAAGGAAGAGATGTATTCGTGGTTGCGGAGCGAAAGCTCCAATAAAAAGTACCCTGGTTCAGATTTTTTTATTAAAGAAACATTTCTGTACTCCATTAAAGAACACACACGGACATTTTTATTGATAATTTGCTAGAGGACTGTAATTTTCTAACGATTGGTCAACAGTGTATACAGGGAAGGGTGATTTTTCAGTCAAGTCGTAAGTTACGCTGAAATTTTTCAGGGAGATTTCAGCGTAATTGCAACTGCGTGATGCTTTTGAAAAATTCCAAGCAATGAGTAGAGAGACATTTGAGGAAATGAAATCATATTTCGTGTATGGTGATTATAGTTAAAGCTCGAAAATGGAAAGGCCTTGAGGCTTTCTAAATAATTAGTTTTTTACTAAACATCGGCATTGTTTTATTGTAGCGGACAATATTAGTACATAAAAATAAATTTCTTGTGAGCAAATTTGATATGTTACAAATGCTTTCGGTGATATTGCGAGTCCCTGATATGTTTCTGTTTCGTGAAACTTATTTGGCGAGTTGTTACCGCTTTTTGGTAACTTTGAATCGAAGTAAAATGAGTGGCAAGAGGAAAATTTGCCCACAAGACTATAATAAGCGTACTACGATAATATACAAATGAAGCCGTCCTGAAGCTATTCTATGTAATTACTTATCTAAAAGATATGTGTATAAACATACTCATCAGGTCTGCTATAGTAAAAAATGGTACGAAATTTCATGTAGAATAACATTGGAGTTGTTCGCGCGATGCAAAACGAAGCCTTGACTCACCGTTGCCCCAAAAATCGAGTCAAAGCGTCGTCACATCCATAGAAAAATTACACTAAAATACCGCCTTTAGCAGCAGCTTATTGTTCTATACATACAAGTTTACACTCGTTCTTGGATAGACAAATTGAAAATTCGCTTTATTGTTCTAAAGGAGGCTGCCAGTGACCTCGACAGCCATGGTGATATACAATTACAGTGCTTTTTCCACTAATTACATCTATCTAGTTAAACATACAGTACTATAGTGTCGTTCGTATATTTGTCTATTGGCTGTGTGCGTTGATTCGATACGTTTCCTAAGCTTTCTCCAGTGGCGTATCGTCCGGCCGATGCGCCTCCTGTCGGCAGTACTGAGCTGTGTGACATCACAATAAACATACAATTCGGTCCCCCCTCTCAAAAAATGCTCCCTAAATTATCATCTAGATTAGGCTAATTTTTTTGGTTTTTGTATTGTCTTTCACACGAAATGTGATGTTAGTATCGCTTCCCCTCGCAAGATTTTTACCAATTTTATTGACGCTAAGATATGTACCAGACAGAATAGGTTAGTGTCGAATTTTAAAAGAAAGCTGTGTAAAATGCACTGTTTCGTACTATACTTATACATTGCTAAACGTAAATACAGTCCGAAGGATAGTCAAACACACAGTGAGGAGAGGTCACGTGGCTGACAGTCGATTTGGTAGAAAACTGTGCTGTAGGCCGAGCGCTGGGTTCTGCACTCGACTCACCCTGCAGGCTACGACTCGGCCGCTTCTGCAAAAAAACACAAATACTATAGCCGCGCTTTGTTGAAATTGTGCCAAGATTTACACATAACATACTCAAGTTACACATGTAAATAATGCGATTTAATGTATTATTGGTAATTACAACCAAATGTAATCACAATTTCAAAGAAACGCAGGACAATATTAGATATTTTATATATACCAAAATCCACGATTGGTGAATACAATAATTTTCTTCTCTCTTTTGCTCTTCTTTCTTGTGTTTTTATAAAATTTGCAAATTTTGGTTATTCTAGAAGGATTCGTATATTTTTACTTTTCGCTTTGGTTTCAAGATAGAAATGAAAGTGTTTTTAACTTTCTTATTTTTTGTGAACTTGGTGTTGTGGGGGTTGTTTGCTTACCTACTGCTAGACGAACCATTCGTCTTTTTGACTTTGTGAGACTAGATCGGCGTCTCCCCCGTTGATGGGCGCGTTGGGCGCCGTTGGTCTCACTTTGCCTGGCAGTAGAGGCGGGCCCGGGCCGGCGTGCTGAGGCGGAACCCTAGTGGGCCCGCAGGGTGGCGCCAGTTTCCCTGAACGGCGGTTGCAGTGGCGGCGCCAGCACTCGTCAAAGTCGTCATGCTAGCCCCCTGTTTCATCGCACCATTCGAACCGTACATTTGCTGAACTGGAACCGAAAGCACACAATTTCCCTAAAGGTACAGCTCTCCCGAGATTCACCGGCGAATATTTCGCGTGTCATTTGCTTCGATAAACAAGATAAATCGAAGGATTTTTACTCCCGAAACGCCAATATTGACACGAATAGCAAATTAGGAAGAAAAGAAATCTCCAAACTTGACCCAAAAAACCAAACAAAAATTGTTACCAAATAAGTAGGAGTAATTTTTCCAATTGTATAACAAACACGTCTAAATGTGTGTCGGATGTCATAAAGGGCGGAAAATTGAATTTTTCGCTCCGAGTGATGAATTGGCGTAAAATCGAGTCGGAAAGTTTAGCTTTTCGGGCTAATTATCTTACTTACGTGGGTATGGAGCGTTCGGTTGGGCCACGTTTCCGTTTCCGGATCTGGTTGTGGCGCTCCAGCCGCGCTGACATAAACATATGGAAACGGTAACAATGCAAACTAACAAAACTAACAAAGTGCTAATTACTGTTACAACAAACCACGTCATTTCCAACCCGAGGATTGTTCCTGTCTCGTTATCTGGAAAAGAAACACCTGTCAAAAGAAGAACTGATGATACAATTGTTTGCTCAATATTCGGACTCACTCTGACATAAAGTGTTTGAAGATTCATCCGAACCGTCGGCACAGTGATTGATGCTGTCGCAGACCAAATCCGTGGCTATACAAAACTCACGCAAGTTGCAACGAAACTCAGTACAGGCATGCTCTGAAAAATGGCATTACCACACATGAGAGTAAATTTTTTCCGCCCGCTTACTCGGGTCTTTTACTGCCGTTATGACGAGAGTAAAACCGTTCTCGTTAGTGCCCCAAGCGTCCGTTACGTATTTGAGAGTAACGTAATTGGTGCGAGTGAACATGGCCCCCAGTGTTTGCTTTGTATTTCTACAGGATAGGTCAAACTGAAACCAAATATTTACCAAAAAGATGGTCCAATTGCTTCCAAAGACAATACCTTGTAAGTCCCAACTGCATGCGCTCCATCATAGATGTAAAGATGGTCGTTGCAGTCGAGTTGCAAAGAATCAAACCGTAACATAAACCGTTGCAGAATCGAATGTGTTTGAAACGTGATAACGCAATCCAAGTTTCGCTCATTTTTTGACCAAAGTACGGCACCATCAATTTTCCGGTAGAGTTGTTGCAGGAAATGGTTTTTGCATAAGGATTGCATAGAGTCTGAAACGGAGATATTTTTGATGAATTCCGTTTTTTGGTTTTCATCAATTTTCATTTTATACTTTACACCTCTTCTACTTGACGCTCGCCTGATTGGTTCTTTATTGATCGCGACAGGGGATAATAGAGAGACCTACCTTTAAAATACCAATTACTTACACATAACTCAATGAACTGGATGATAATTTGAAACAAATCTACCGCGAATCAAATTTGAATTAATCAATTGGTTGGGAGTCAAGCTTTAGATATTTACATAAAAAAATTATTTCGTAAGCAAACCGAAAACGCTAAATTTGAAACCTGTTGGGCGAGCGAAAAATTTCCTGAGAAGAGGCGGATAATGCGAAAATTGCCAACGGTATTTTCCTGTTACAAAGCATAACTTATGGGGTTACAAAGGTGAGATCAAAGGAGGATGCATAATTAACGTATTCAAAATCTTCAAACTTGCTAATTTCTTCCATTTACGCTTTACAAAGCAATTTTTTGAATCCAACTCCACACTTGCACAATGATGACTTGTTTGAAGTCAAAAGAGTGAAAGCTTTGTTGATATGTATATCTATAGTATCAAGAGTTAGAAAAAAAAAATTCCAGCATTTTACCGGAAAGTAGATTAACATCAATTTAATGACAAGTAACCCTAATCACATTAGATTGAATTATTTAATGTGACTGTGTAAAAATAATTCATAAATTATAAAATCGATACCAATTCTATTATTTCAGTTACTAGGGCACTCAAGTTTTTCGGTCATTACTAGGTTCGAAAAATATTTTATTTGAAGCATTCGTAAATCATAAAGTGGTTTCGAGTTGTAATGGTTTTATTATCTGAAATAGCCCTTCCCTTTTAGTAAAGCCTCGTTCACACTGCTTTTGACTGTTTCAACTATAGTACCATTGCATTAAAAATGACCACAACGTCATAAATTATGCATCAGCATGAACATCTCCATGAGAATTTTTTAGTAGACAATTTTTATTTCAAAAATTTTTTATAATAAAATAAGCACTGTTTTATCATTTTTTAAATCTAATTTACACATAGCACACGAAAAACTCACAATATTTGCTTTTTTCGCCGACTGCAAACGTAGTGCATCCTACGATCAAAATAACGAGACAAATGATCACATTGTATGGAGGTCCTGGTCCTCTCTGTTTCATCATCATTTATTTTCACTCGAGTTCCCTAAACATAATGACCATCACTTTTCCATTTTCGAACCCTTCGTACCGGAGTCGCTTGAAGTGGTCACTGTCACACTGCGGTTGGAAAAATAGCATCATTGGTATTTATCCTCATGGAAAAGGCATGTTTTCGCACTTTTTTTCAAAATTTCACTGATATGTTACGGACGCGATATGTATGTCGGTTGTAACGATACGAATCTGTTTTAGATTGTGATTTTAAAAGCGTTGCTCGCGCACGATTCCGCCGTCGTAAAATCGATGACGACGCCGGCGACGCTTACAACCCCTTCCTAGCGGTATCTACTGTGGTTCTTATTAACTAAGCCTTCAACCCCAAAACAACGACCACACGCAAAAAAAACGCAAAATAATTGGATGCAAAACACGAAATTATTGCATTCGTGAGAAAGAAAAAAAATCTGCCAGGATTGAATCAAAAAAATAAATATTGATGAAGCTGCTGTTTTTCAAAATAAACACACTCCTAAAGAATTTTTTGATAGATTAAGATTTAGTTATCAATTTATTTATTATTAAACCTAATCGTATTACAACAACGCAAATTTGTTGTTTTTAATACATAAATCAATATTTAATCTAATTACGATTTTCTTGTTAACACTACTGATATAAACATGTTTGTGTAAATGTTTAAATTCTTGTAGATTTACTTTACTTATCTTGTGATGATAAAGACCTTTAACCTCAATATTATGGCAATTTTTGTATAATTTAAAATTATTTTAGTAAGCTTAAATTTCTACCTAGATTAAATTAATTTTGTTAGTGCTTCGTATTTTAATGGTAAGCCATTTTATGTATCATACAATTTTTCTCATTAATTTAAATAAAAATATGTATGTCATTTTTAGCTATTAACATTAGAGAATGGTATCTATTCTACTTATTTCTTTTTTTCATTTATATTGTTTGAGTTGGACTGCAATGATAAAATTACGAAAAGAAAACTAGTTTATTATTATTTTTTATTTCGATGACTGTTACTAATTAGTAACCTGTTCTAAAATATGAATTAAATACTTAGACAAGAGTTTTAATATGACATAAGGAAGTTACTCGTATAAACCAATATAAAAAAAAAAACAAAAAACACAGTTAGGCTATAAGGCTACTTTACTCTCGATAATCAATGATCCAATAATAGTTATTTACGAACCGAGTGCGAGAAGACACTTTTTACACCCGAGCGCATTATTGGGGCACGAGCGACGAAGAAGCGAGTGCAGCCCTTTGCGCGAATATGTCAAAAACGTCTTTGCGCATCAAATTTTATACAGCACTTTTTTCTTATTAAGAAAATTGATTGTGACCAATAGTTATTAGGTAATGGCGTTTAAACATTAAACCAGATTTTATTATTATCAAGTCAATTTATTTTCACAATGCTCAAAAAGTATGCTTTTTGACTGAATTTGAAGCACTAGTCTGTAAAATCTACATTCGCGATTAATGGTTGCGGTCGCGAAATGTTATTTTGAAGGTAGGACTGAGATTAAAAAAAAGACATTGATATATTAAATAACAATTTAATTTTTAATTGGATTGCAATCTTTTCTTACATAAGTTCCTAAATAAGTAGTAATATTAGACGTTCGTACTTGCAACAAACAAATTTTTCTCAACATGTTTTCATTTACGAATACTTTTTATCACCACTCATCAAATTTCAAGTTCGAATTAGATTTTTCATTTGCTTAATGTTTGAAAGTCTTTAGGAACCTTTCTTACCATATTTTTTATTCTCTGTTCTTTGTCAACAAATTTTTTAAGACCAAATGAATAAAGTGACTAACTGCAACTGCCATACCTATGGCTAAATTCTCTTTTATCGTCATCACAAGTGATAAGAATTTTTTCAAATTTCTATCAGTTTAAATTGCTTTAATTGCATTTGATAGATTAGGCCGATATTAGTCTAAAACAAACTTGAGACTTTTATATAAATTATTCCAAAAGTAGTAATAAGGTATACAGCAGTAGAATGTTCGAGACTAATGTTGGTTTCATTTTACTTGAAAATATTTTTTTTTACCCAAAAATATTTTTTTTACTTTATGTGTATTATAAATATTATGCTTAAAGCTTTAGAACAAAAAATAATTTGTCAATTGCCTCTTTGCTCAAAATATTACGGACGTATTTAATATTATAAAAATATTTACATCTTAAAATGTGTAATAATATTTGAAAATGTAGTATTATTATTCAAATAAATGTCACGTAATGGCATGCTATTTTGAGAACTTTTTACTAGTAAACGTAAGCGTTTTTATAGCTGTGAAATGAATAATATATTCCTGCATGATACGTTATTGCTCTTGTTGTCATCCCTTTTATTTTTAAAAAGGGCATAAAAAATTCAGTGCATCAAAATACTGACATAATTTGAAATAAAAACTGAATTTAATTTCGATTTGAGCAAACACATTTCTGCCTAACTATAAAATTTCTAATAAATTTATAAAATTTAGAAAAAAACATTTCTCTTTAGAAAATCAAAATTTAGCGCGTTATGAGGCTCCATTTTAAAACAATCGTTATCTTTGCCATCATTTAAACAAATATTTTCTCGTAATGATTATTGTCTTTGATAAAATTAATAGCTGCAAAAAATCTTAATTAATCGGAGATAGAAAAAAAATATTAAAATTTAAAGTTTTGATAAGGCGTCAAAAACAGGTAACTAATAGGGGTCTCGAATGCCGAAATAACGCTATAAGGCTTTTCGAGGCCATCTATCAGTAATTATCATCAATGTAATTTTCACCTATAAACTATTTAGAGATAAACAATCACTCAAGCAGTGATAAAAAATTGGTATTTCATCAATTTAAGTTTTAATCAGTACAATTGTCATCCGTTGTCTCTAATACTGACTTCACAAAACAGTTCCTCTGTGAGTATTTTTATTACAAATATTTATTCAAATTCTTCTGTAGCAGATCAGCTTTTGTCGTATTTCAGTGAATTAAAACGAATAAAATGTTTTCAATTGTTAACAATCTAAACAATGAAAATATATAAATCAGACGGCTCCTACATCAACAACCCGACAGATACAGACTTTGGATGGCACCTAAATGATGTAGTTATTGACGAAAGTGTTCCTTTTTACCAAGAACACAATCAGAAATTGTTACAAATGGAAAAAAAGTCGATTGTTGTAAAATTGTGTGACAACACCGTCGAAACTGCACCGATAACAAGTGTCATAGACTTCAAATTAGGCGATAATTTCCAGGATATTAATAGAGAAATACCCTTTAAAACACAAGTTTGCAGTTTGATCAACCCTTGCACAATAGAAAGCAAAGTCTTGCTCTCCGTGGTCCACTATGCATTGTATAAAAATTTCGATCGAAACATGATTAATCTGGAACACTTTAAAAACGGAACCAGACTCCCATTCTGTCAAGACTTGGAAAGCGTTATCCACGATGAAATCCAGACTTTTAGTCGCGATAAAAATAACGTGTTGTCCCTGATGATGGATTTGATTTTGAGTGAAAATAAATGCGATCGCCACGAACTAGGTGCTGAAAAATCCGAGTTTCAAAACATTGATGTCGTCGATGGATTCCAATATAAACATTTTTGTTACGAGTATAAATCCGGAAAAAAAATTTGTAATAATTTGAGTTTCGACGATGTTATTAATCAAACGATTACAAAAATCCGGAAGAATACGGCAGATATAGATTTAGAAATAGATAAAATTAAAAAAAGTTTTGTGGTAAGAATGCAGGATTTGCTTTATCAAGTGTATTAATTTTTTCTGTAGGATGATATATTTTGCGTCAACGTTCTAATTCATAGGGCGCAGAAGCTGGAAAAAGACCTAAGAGAGACTAAATTTTTGAATGATTTGATTCATCTTTTGAATGGAGAGTTGGAGAAAGTAGCTTTGAGGGAATCTCCGTTTCAGATTTTTTTGCATTCAGGGCAATATGATGACCTTAACTTAATAATATAATATTATTTATTTGTGTTTAATTACATCCGATAATATGTATTTGAAATAAACATGTTTGATAATGATATATCTTATTATTTTGTTTTTCAAACTTTCTGTTATTTTGCCCCCGATGTTATGCAGCCAACATTGATGCAGTTGTGGTTCTTTTCCGAGTTTTATAAAGTAAGAAGGTTGCCTGGTAACTTTGCTTCGAGTCACTAAAGAGCGAGTAAAATGGCTTTATAGTGACGTCAATGGAGTTATGCCACAGATTAGCTAATCAACTAATCTGTGGTTATGCTCGATCAACCGCAGGTTGCACTTGCAGACTGCCAGATTAAAGGGACCAACGTCCTGTTTTAGCCAAGACATGTTTAGGTTTTTATTGACTTATTTTGTTTTACTTTTTTTTTTTTTGTCTGATGTTGATCACCTTATGTCAGATTTCAGATTTGTGTTATTGTTATTATGTTGCATCTTGCATTATTTACCACATCTTCCTTTATAGATCTTGTATGCTTCTAACCTTATTCTTAAATTTATTACTCAATATCGCAAAAATTATGCATCGCAGAGTATTTTAACTTGTTGCATAGTGTTCAGCGGGTAATTTTACGTCTAAAAAAAAACATATTTCAAGCTTTTTTAAACTCAAAAAATTCGTAAGTTTTTAAACGTTTTGTGTAATTTTTTGAGTCTTTAAGATCACTGTAAAAATGTAAAAAAACGTTATATGGATCAATTTTAAACTTAAAATTTTTTTGATTTTTGTCGAGATTTTTTTTGTTCGATTCAAAAAGAAATAAACTTTATTCACAATAGAATGAACTGTATTATTATACAATATTTTGACAAATTGTTTGACATTATTTGACAAATTTATCATTTTGTTATTATATTTTTATTAATTTAGTTTTTTGGAAAGAAAATTTTGTATGCACCTCTGAAATAAACAACGTTAATCTCCCAAATGAAAATCCCTCGGCTCCCTTCAGTCGCCTCTGACATTATCTATATTCTTGGAAAAAATAATAGTTATTTATTCCCTTGATAACTATTAAAAATTTTTGAACTTAAAATGAAGATTTACAGATTTTTTTGTAAACTACCAACTATCAGTTAATTCTAGAAAAATTTCATATCGATTCAGAAAGAGTAATAAATGAGGTATTTGAAATTTTACCGATTTTTATCACTTTGTAACTTTTTTTTGTAACTTCACTTCAAAAATAAAAAATATTTTATTTTGACTTTCAAATTTTTTCAGCCTTTATTTTTTTTTAATATTTTAGCTTACAAAATCACATTTCTTATAATAATTCTACAATTTGTTTTTTAAATAATAAGTTACATTTATACATTTTGAACAATGTGAAAAATATCGAGCGTTTTTTCAATTCATATCTTACGACTGTTAGAAAACCAAAAGTCGGTATTTCCACTAATTTTTAAACTTTATATTTGTCCAGAAATCTAATAAAAAAATCTATCTGGAGAGCAATAATAATAGTTTTATTCATGTACTTATTAATTTTCGAAAATAGTGAAAATGATTGAATTGTTTTGAAGTATTTTGAAAAATATTAAATGCTCTTTTCTCTTTTTATTAAATAAGTGTTTAATTAAATATGAATTAATAAATTTCAGTACTTTATACAATCTAAAAACTGTTTTTAAAATTCTCGTCCTTAAGAAGGCCAACTTTCGCTTTCCTTGAATTAAAAACCCAAACGTTACTAAAACCACTTTATTAAATTTTACAACAAAATTCGCAAATCCTAAATTTAGAATCTTCTTTGTCCATAAACCGCACTTTCTGGCTCGGGATGCGCCGCAATCCATTCCAAAGCCCTTTGAATCGCTGGAGGAATTGGGGGAGCAACAGGCAAATGACTTCCCTGCGGTTGGTACCCGTTACCATCGGCGATATAAGACACTGAAACTTGTTCTCCTTCAGGAGACGTCCATGAAAAAGCTCCTTGAGCAGTCTTCTCCAACTCGTTGCCGACAGCCCGAACTTCAGCTCTTTCCTCGGCATTTATCCCATTCTCCGTCTCGTAACTAAACGAAAAAGTAATTTTTGCGTACTTGTGGAAACCTTACTCACCTGTATTGGTAACTGCCATCAGGAGACGAGTCTTGGCTTTGGCGGAGGATGGCAATAGGGCGGTAGTTGGAGGCAGTGGCAACGGGTTGCACTGAAACAGCGCGAACGGGTGCGACGAAGGGGCGGCGACCCAAAATATGCGAGACATCGGCGAGGGCTGAGGCCACCAAAGCGCTAACCACAAGCTAAATTTTGCTTTATTTACTATAATTAATATACGAATAGTTGGTTCTTACCAAGCGAATCATGACTGGTGTTAGTGAAGCGCGATTCAGTAATAATCTAGTTTCAGAAATTTCTGATATTTATACTTGATGCAAATTAGTTGGAGCGTCGGATTCACAAATCCCCGTTTTTCGAATCAGGTGCGACTCGTCCATGAAGTGGACAATAAAGTGACTCATAAATAATGTCAATTTCGAAGGCGGTTTTGATCTATTGGGCCATTTTATACGAAACTGCTCATAAAAAATATTAATTATTATCTGGTTATTGCGCCACCGATTGAATTATTTAACATATTTCACAATTCGTCCATCTCTCCTCTTCCCATCTTTGTTTTTTAAAAATTTTATCACCATAGCTGAAGTGTTAATTTTCAAATTAGATAAAGTGGTATGCACCCGTTTTGCATTGTTTGAAGTCCTTTCCAAAAGAAGATAATGCAAATGTTGAAAACTTCGATTTGCATTTAAAATGTCAAATCGTTTTTTCTGTGGAATTTTTATTATCCGTAAAAATACGTTCATTGGCGCGCCACTGATTATTGAAATGTGTATTCTTCACTGGACGCTGGAAAGGCGGCATAAAATTTTAAATTGTTTCATAATAACAGATCCATCAAGAGACCTTTATCAAGGACGGTCAGTATTTTACTGCGACCTTTTCAAAAGATGATATTACAATATCTGGAATGTGATATTTATAAAAAAAAGTAGCTTCAATATGTAAAATTGTAACATTTTCCGCAAACGTTTCATAATAAGTTATGCGCTTCTGGGTAAAAATAAATAATAGACTTGTGGCATTTCAACTTTTACATAATTTGAAAAATATTAGTGACGTCTGTATTGAAATTTTGAAATCCTTGTTTAAATAACCGGACAGGTCATTTGATGAGTCTTAATGCAAATTTCATGCAAGAAAACCTTGTTCAACAAATTTGGTGATTTGACATCATTTCCTTTTATTCTTAATGTCACTATCGTTTATGTTGTCTTTTGAGAAGAAACTCATTTTTTGAATATTTTTTGAATATTCACAAGATTATAAATTTTTTCTGGGGCCAACAGGTGTCGAAATAAAAGAGATGAAGACGAATATTCACACCTTTATGTCTAGAAGATTGTTGCTATGCTGTAAAGTGAGACTTTATACAGGATGTGTCAAAATTCAAGCCCCAAGAGAAAAATTTCAAATAATATAAGATACCAGCAACATGGAAAAAATATTTGAAAATTTTTATGTCAACAAATTTTGACATTTATTTTTTGACATTTGACATTTTTTATGTCTATTTAATGATACTAAAGATCTTGCATATGTTTTTTTTATAATTATTTAGTAATGGTAAAAAATTTTGCCAATAAAAACCACAAATAACATAAAACACAGTTACAATTTACGATACAGCTTCCTTGTTTCCTTTGCCTGTAGCAAAAAAGCTTGAAAAATTAATTTTCCAACAAAAATGAATAGAGTCAAAGTGCAAAATTTTAAACTCTCATAACTACGAAATTTTTATAGAAAAAATTTTTTAAACATTTTTTTCATGTTCCTGGTATCTTACCTTACATGAAGCGCGAGTTCTGGCGCAGGCTGTATATAGCTGCATTAGAACCACTGAAAAATCACCAACATTAGAAATGGAAATTAAATTGTGATATTTGCCCAAAAGCAAACAACCGAAAAAGACCTAAAACCTCTCAAAAAGCATTAATTTTTATGCACCACAAAAGTACCCAAATATCTGTAGACCACCAAAAATTGGGTACATGAAAAAACAGAGTGCTACAAATTTAGTGTTTTCCCAAAAGTAAACATCTAAAGAAGATCTAAAAAACTTACAAAATGCCTTGTTTCTAAGCACCCCTAAAATGGCTTTTTATTTCTGGACCAGGACATTTGGCGTCTTAAACAAACAAGGCAAAACCCTAAAAATTTAGCTCCCAAAAGTAAATAACCGAAAGAGACCTAAAACCTTTAAAAAAGCGCACATTTTTATGCACCTCAAAGTACCCAAATATCTGAAGACCACCAAAAATTGGGCATACGAAAAAACTGTTGTAATCTCCCAAAATAATGCAAAATTACCTCAAAAACTCACAAAAAAAATACGTTGCTTTTACACACCCTAAAATGGCTTTTTATGTCTGGACCAAGCCATTTGGTACATGCATAAAAGGAAAAACAACACCAAATCAATGTTTGGCGCCTTACAAAACAAGACAGATCTTCAAAATTTATATGTTTTCCCAATAGTAAACAACCGAAAAAGATTAAATCCGTCAAAAATCATAATTATTTATGCGCCCAAAAAATACTCAAAAATCAATAGACCACCAGAAAATGAACACATGGAAAAACTGTTGAAAATCATCCAAAATCAAACATAATTACATTAAAAGTACCCAAAAAACCAGCATTCCTTGTTTTTAGACACCCCAAAATGACTTTTTATTTCAGGACCAAGCCAATTGGCGCATGCAAAAAATTCACCCACTAGACAAATAAGAGCTCTTGTTTTTAAATACCCCAAAATAGATTTTCAATTCTGGAACAAGTATTACGCTCCCCATCCACGATTGTGTATATTGTTAATATTAAAATTAAAATATTAAAAACCTGCCATCTAACAGAAAATAATAGAGTTAAAGCCTTGCAGAGCTCTGTAGCGTCAGCTGAAGCAGACTCCTGTCTGTGACTAAACATAAGGCCCTTCAAAAAAATTTGAATTTTGGGATTTGTTTTGAAATTTTATTTTACAACTTGAAATTTTTATTTAAGAAAATATTCTATCGCTATGAAAAAGATTTTACGCTCTATCAGGATTCGAACACACAGTAAACGAATGCAAATGTTCAGAGTGCGAAGCTAACGCGGTTTTATTTTACCAGCACGCCTATAATGGATTTTTTTGTATATGCTTCCGAAAACAGCTGTTTAAGGGACTCATTTGTGTCTCTAAAATGAGTCTTTTCCGGACTCAATAAAATAGTATACGCAAAACGGTTATTTTAGGTATTCAGTCACTAAAAACAGTTTTTGCGGACTAAAAAATAAAATTGGTTACTATGGTAACGTAATTTTTTTTAATTAGTAAGAGGTGTAAATTCGTGTTTTGGGAGCTTTAACAAGAAAATCTTGATTGCACCACGTACGCAAAAGCTTTTAGGTGACTCCTCTCATTAAAGACTCGTCCCCTAAAACCCTATTTTGCGTACTTGATACATAAATAGCTATTACTTTTTTTACAAAAATATATTCTACAATATATTGCTACAAAAATACTTAAAATCTGAGATTTTGATTCGGTTCCGGATGCGCAGCAATCCACTCCAAGGCCCTGAGTATCGCAGGAGGAATAGGTGGAGGCGTGGGCAAATGAGCCCCCTGAGGCCTAAACCCATTTTCATCGGCCGTATAAGTCAAGGAGATTGGTTGGCCTTCAGGAGACGTGTACCCAAACGATCCTTGAGCGGCAATAGACGGCTCAGGGCCCCCTTGTGGCCTCAAAGCTCCTTGTTCCTGAGCCGCAATGCCATTGGCGGTTTCATACCTAAACATTATTAAATTGTACCGATTTTTTTTCTTCAATATTGACTTACGCCCATTTGTAGCTACCATCAGGATCTACCGTTTGCTCCTGCCGAAGAATTGCCACCTGTGGCCCACGATTGGGAGTATCGAATTTAATTGCAGGGCCGGGATTGGCCGCAAAAGGGGGTCGGTTTCCAAAAGGCGATAAGAGACGGCTGTTTTGATTTTGGTATAAGTCTTGGACGTCGGCTTTTGTGGTCACAAACAGCAGCGTGAAGGGCACAATCTAACAGGAACATTCGGTTAATTAAAAATTAACAAATTTTAGCAACTTACGAATTTAATCATTTTGTATTAACTCACACAAAGTCACAACAAAAGTAAAAGAAATTCACAATAGTATCCATATTTATAGTAAAGGTTTACGTTTCAGCGGAATCCCCCAATCTATTCCCGCCACCAGTGGCGTAGGCCCATTCATGTTTCGGTGTTTACAAATTCATGATTATAATTAATTTACTTTTACAACCGTGGGACATAAAAATCAATTTGGCTACGTCTTGTCGTGCATATAATCAAGTCGAGAAGATGCAAATTTTGTTCTAATTATGAACATTTGAAGAAAAGATTTATCATCCCGCCACTGAACTCATAAATTACCTCATACTTTATCGGAAGCGCAGCCAATTTCATAACGACTCCCCTGTCTGATGTCTTAAAATATTTAACACCAACCTTTGGCTTCACATCAGTGTCAAGTTGAATTTTTTAAATTTTGTTAGAAGTTTGTCGTTTTTAATTAAAGCCACCAGACATCCCCGAATTCTACTCTTACACAAATTCGGTAATTAGATGTTAGATAAGAGCCATGAGAAGAGCAAATTGTGACAATAGAAATGCATCTTTATGTAAATCAGGAGAAATGATATTTGGTAAGTTTTCACGATTTTGCAATAAAAGCGAACAGGAAACATAGCCGAATTAATTAATCGTTTCGGGGATCAATGGCATTTATGTTAAGCATTTCACAAGAATTGTGACTTTATTCAAATTTCGGTCAAATTTTTATCGATGGCAATAATTTCGCCTTGCGAAAAACCCAAGCGGCCGGTGTCGAGTAACTAATCCCATACACTAATCCGCGAAAATAAATAAATATGAAGATTGTTTTCGACTTAAAAATTGATCAATGACAGGCCTTATCGTGATGATTAATTGAATTACTTAATTATGCCAAACTTCTTCACAAGATTGCCGCCTTAAACTCGTAGTCGACTAATTTATCATAGCTTTACATGTGCAGATTTTAATTAAGGAATTGTGTTTAGATAAGCAAAATTTGCATTTTATTGCGTCTTTTATTACATTAGAATAAAAAATAAATGTCGGATTTTGTCTAGCCATTTAAGTGCATCATGTCTTCAATTGCACAACTAGAAAGTAATCCAGACAAAAATTTACATAGTGTTTTAAATTTCGTATTATTGTCAACAAATTAATTCAGAACATCGTGGGAACGTATCCCCGATTTTTCCATACACTTCTGATTTTGTAATATTTTGGGTCGTGTGTTTTAATAATTAAGCGTAATTACTAGTAAAGCCTTACAGCATTCATATAAAAATTTTGGTAAACTTTGGCCTTATTAAGGCAGGTAATAATTATAAGTTGAAAATGAAAAGATTCTTACAAGGTCTGTGCTAGGGGCTATTGTCATGATTTACTCATTGAAGAACCTAGCCCTAATTTTATTTACTTAGGCTTTCATCGAGTTGTTCTAGATTTTAAAATGCTTCTGATTGGCAGAGAAAAAAAACAACGAATCTATTTTAGGTAAGGTGTTTCATAACCTGCGCCCCACAAAAAAAGCCAAGTAGAAAAATAAAATATTAATACTAGAAACATGGAAAAATGCTTAAAATAACTATCTGTAAAATTTTGTCATTTCACCCTTTTTATGTCTATTTATTGTTACCAATGGTCTTTATATATATGTTTTTTTGATAATTATTCCATAAAAAATGCCAATAAAAGCCACAATAAATAGCGTTAAACATAGTTACAATACAGGATATAGTTTCTATATTTGCTCTTGTAATAACTTGCATCAAAAAAACATGTAAAACGTATAACAATAATTTTAGGCAACATTGCAAAATCCAGTTAAAACAGTGCAATCAATAGAGTTTTCTGAAGTAAGAGAAACACGTAGGCGATAGTAATTAAACAATCTATCTTGCTTCCTCCTATTGTTTGAATATCTATTATATTATATTATATTATATTATATTATATTATATTATATTATATTATATTATATTATATTATATTATATTATATTATATTATATTATATTANTTATATTATATTATATTATATTATATTATATTATATTATATTATATTATATTATATTATATTATATTATATTATATTATATTATATTATATTATACACTGTGTCAATTTTAAAACTTGCAATCGGCAATTTCTCTCAACTGAAAAAGTTATTAATAATCACTCAAAACCGTTTTGGTGGTTCCTAGGGGGAATTAAAATGACATGATAAGTGACACACCTCCACCCACCCTTGAATATAGTAAAAAAAATGAAAATTTAACGTCTTCGTTTTTGAATAATTGGAAAAATAACTTTACCAAATAGGCTGTTGTATGACATTTTTGAAAAGCGCTTGTTATGGGCTTTCCAACGATGCATCGCAAGTAGAGTCGTGCCATTTAAAATTTTCAACTTAAGGTGGCTGTGGCTTGAAGGGTGGGTGGAGGAGCGTCACTTACCATGCCATTTTGATTCCCCCTAAAAACTACCGAAAAGGTTTTGAGTGATTCTCAATAACTTTTTTAGTTCTAGAGATATTGGCGATTGCAAGTTTTAAAATTGACACCCTGTATATTATACTTTCGAACTCATAAGCAATGTTGTATAAAATTTGTTAAGTTAATTATTGTCGTAACTTCTAATTTATGGTTTAGATTTATTTCCAAAATTGGAATTATTTTAATGTATTAATGCAATAATCTAAATTAAACAATTCATGACATTTATGAATTAATCTAAAACCTTTAAAGTGATTGGTTTTTTACAATTTCATATTGGCCGACCTTAAACGGGCCAATCACATAATGGTGTTAAATTTTTGAATAAAATTAAAAATCTAAATTGATTGGTTTTTTGCAATATAATGATGGCCGACTTCAAACGATCCAATCACAATGTAAACAATTTTTACAATCTTTACTCCTTACGTTCATTCATAAATATTTAATTGTTCTTTGAGATTTGTTTTTACAACACAGAACTCAAGTCCTTGCCTTTGAGTAACACGAAAGTGATCTGTTTTCATAATAATTAGCATTCCCAGAAATAGACAAAATTGTGTAGTAATTTATTGTTTTAAATTTTTAAAATTCGATCTTGTAAGATTCCAAACGCATGATTTTTGAAGCACACGCTATGGCACATGCGCAAATTCAAGAGAAACATAACCTCCAGTGACTTCAAGTTTGAAATGTTTAAAATTATTTGTTTATATTCAATGTTTGTAAAATGTGTAAGATTTTGTCAGTTGTAGTGATTATCATTGTTGTTTAGTTCGGTTTTGTTAAAATGTTATACATTCTGAAGGAAGTTGAAGGTAAATTATGAAGACAGGTTCTATAATCTGTTATCTATTATTATGTTAAATGTTTAGGTTCAAAGTTATTTTATTTATTTACTGAAAATAACTATGATATTGGGCGTAAAAAAGCGGCTATTGCTTTGCCAAATGATGCCTCAATTAGTCGGAAACACGCTGTTATTAGTGTTGGGGTAATTCTTTCATTGCTAAATTTTAAGTTTATTATAAGTAATATACCGATTTTTTAGGTGAATACTGCAACTTTGAAGGACCTAGAATCGAAATATGGCACTTTTCATAACAATGTGAAAATTACCCCAAATACACAAGTGATTTTAAAGGATAACGATGTGATAAGGTTGGGTGTTTATAATAGCAAGTTTAGGTAAGGATTTATTTTTATCGGCAAAAATGAGTTCATAAATTATAGAATTCAAAAAGTGGATTTGGTAGTAGCCGGTTCCGGTTTAACAAATGAAGAAAGAGTTGAATTAAAAGAGAAAATTACGTCCGTTGGAGGCACATTTGTCAATGAATGGGGCCCAACTTGTACTTATTTAACAGTACCAGTAATAGTTTTAACAATCAAAATGTTAAACGCGTTGATAGATGACAAACCTATCGTGAATTTAAAATTCTGGGATGAGTACATTAAAAGAATTAAAAATAATGAACCTTTACCTGATCTACAAGATTTCAAACCACCTGTAGTTGAAACTTTATTGAATGGAATTGATTTAACACCAAACCCCGAAAGAAAAACTTTATTTAAAAATAAAATATTTGTTTTCCCCACGGAAAAACTCAAATTGAAAATGATGTATCTGATTAAGCAAACAGGTAATAAATAATAAAAATTATTTAAAAAAGTGATAAAACATGTATTTAGGTGGTTCGTGTATTTCGTGGGAAAAACAACCACTCAGTATTACACAAGTGACGAAATCGAAAAATACTTATCTTTTTATATTCAGTGACGAACCAAAAAACACGCCAGAGTCACTCAAACAAATTCATGAATATTTGACTAAAATAGGGGAACGCACTATACCACTTCAGGAAATTCCCAAAGCAATTATGCTTTCTTCTTGCGAAAAAGACTGCAATCCCAAATTTAATCGTGTCCACAGTGTTTTCGTGGAAAAAGAATTAAACTCAGAATCTGAGATCTTACCTTTAGTTCAGGAAACACCAACAGACGATGTACTTCCGCAGAATTTTGAACCTAAACAGGAATTGGTGATTCCTGGGTCACTAGATTCAGACTTGTATTTGCTGGCGTCGCTCCAACAACCGCTTCAAAAACAAGTTAACAGAACCCTAAGTACTTTTAAAAGAAGAGTGGAGGAAACGGAAAGTACGCCTGCGAAGAAAGCAAAAGTGGAAGAAAGTGTCTCCAATGACAAGAAAAGAAAAGCTGATGAGAACCTGGCTTCAAGCTCCAAGAAAACTTTGATTGAAAATCCGTTCGCAATAATGAGAAAGAAAAATATGAATAGAACTAATAGAACAATAGATGCTGAAAATCCGTTTGTCGCGTTGAGGGTGAAAAGAGAAGTGGAAGAACAAAATGATAATCCCTTTAAAAATATCATGAATACATTTAAAGAACCGGAGAAGAAACCAGCTGTTGAAAAATCATTTCACATCGTCTCAAAGCGCTACAGTGCGAATGAGAGTTACTGTCCCTCAGACCCTTCAAATGTCACTTGGATGTCGAAGCATAATATTAAAAACGAGTCGCTTGGGCCTGAACCCGAATTTAAGGAACTTTTTGATTTGTTTAAAAACACTGTAGTGATTGAACCTTTGCCGCCGACAGCCATAAGAGTCTTGCCCTTGAATCAAAATGAGACTGGTAACACCACCACAAGAGGGAAGAATTTTAAGAAATTTAAAAAAGTAATTTAGTGTGATTTGTGGGTGAATGTTGTTTGTTAGTTTGTTGTGTTTTAGGTGCGCCCCTTGAAACCTCAAATTGATATTATCAGTACATCGGTTTTTCAAAATATGTCAATGATGATGCCGCAAGTAGCAGTTGGCTCGGATAATGAAGAAGAAGAAGAGGTGATCCGAAGGCCTATGACCAAGAAAGCAAATCCCAGACGTTTCCAGTTTTAAATTTCATTATTTCTATATATTTTACAATTATACTTTGATATTATTTAACAGTCGTTTAATTTTGTTTCCTGAAATAGACTGTAAAATAACTTCTAACAATCTGTAATCCGTATATTCGTGATAACAAATTCAACTTCAGTACTTTGTTACACAAATTATTGTTATTACATTTGGTGTGTTCACACAAAAAATTAAAAGTCCTATTAATAAAAAAAGACGATACTTTATTTCACAAAACGGCACAAAACAAATCAAAAACAAAAACATCACAAAAACAGATTAATCATTTTTCTTCTCAAACGAATCCGAACTAGCGCTCTCAATTTCATGACGACTCGTTGAGTGTTTTTGGAAGACTTTTTTGTCCACAGTTGACTGAAAATTTATTATACAATTCTTCATATTAGCATTTTTGTCATAAATGTTACCTCTGTGGAAGGTCCTACAGCACTAGAAGCGTCATTAATGTTTACTTTTTGGTCCTAGAAAAATAAAAAAATTAGATATTGTAATAATAAAATATTCATTAAATATCTTACAACTGGTGACTCATCCCCGAATTCTTGTTCAAACTCCTTTAATGTTTTTTTTATACTTTCTTGTAACTTATTCACTGGAAAAATTTAAATTAATGAAAGCGGTATAATAAAGACACTCAACTTTTTTCTTTGGTCTGTTGTTGCAAAAGCAGTTGTTTGCTTAATTTCTCAATCGTGAGACTTGAGGATTTGGTAATTTTTACAACCGGAGAAGTTGTACTCAGTGTTTGTGATTGATTGGATTCGAAATCTAGCGTTCTTTCGACTTCCTCCTACAATATAATTTTTTTAAAATAAACATTGATTTCAATTTTACTGAGAGTACATCATCTTCACTTGTATTTTTGTCACTCTGGTCTGACACAAGGCTTTTCTCACTTTGAATCCTTTTTTTACGTTGATCCAGACTACTCTGAATCCTCTTCACTAAATGTGATAGCTGTTCAATATCATTGTCCGTGTTTCCAATATTTGTTACTTGGGGCGGGTAATTTCCGTAAGACAGGAAAGGGGGTTGTATAAAGATCGGCATGGCAAAGACTGGGGGTTGCGGTCCGACTGTCATTGGCTGAAATACAAAAAATAAACGTCAACTCTAAATAAAACAAAAGAATCACCTGTGGCATAAAAAGCGATTGTTTGGGTTTCTTTCTCAAATCTCTGTCTTTTTCCGACTCAACACTCTTTTGATCTTTACTTTGTCGTTTCCGAGCCAATTTTTCCGCCACTTTCTCTTCTTTCCGGAGAAACGATCCAAGCTCTTCCTTCAGATATTTTATTTCAGATTCCAATTGCACTGTTACTAATTTCAACCCATCGTTATTTATCTGACACTTTTGCACTTGTTCTTCCAATTCTACCACTCGCTTTTCCTGATAGTCGGCCTCCAGAAACGCAATTTTCCTCTTTAAATTCTCGTTGTTATCGTGATATTTTTGCAAGGTTTGCTCCAATTTTCTGATTTGTCGAGCCTGTATTTCACTCCCAGGCATTTTCTTTCCTTTTTCTAAAATAAATACAGAAGGAACAAGTGTTAAATCAAAGTAAACGTGATATACCAATATGAGCACTTAATTCCTTCTTCAAGTTGGTTTTTTCCTCTTCAAGATGCACAATTCGTGTTTTAAGATTTTCATTATTATCGTGATATTTTTGCAAAGTTTCTTCCAATTTCCGGGAGCGTTTGTCATCGGTATCCCCCTTACCTACTTCCAGCTGTAGCTTAGTCAAATCTTCAATTTTCTTCTCCAAGTCAGAAACAACCAAGTTCAATTTCTCATTTTCTTGATTTTTGTATTCCAATTCTTTGAGTGTAGCTTCATATTCTCCTCCGCCCAAAAATTGAACTTTCTTTTGCAATTCTCTAATTTCTTCTTCTTTCTTCTCATTCTCTTTTAGAAGATTATTTCGTTCTTTGGTCAAGGTGTTTACCTCATCTTTGAGCTTTTTATTATCTTTTTCACTCAGTTCCAACTTAGCTTGGAGAGAACTTATATCATCTGTTGCTCTAGAGCTAGAGACATTATCGGATGTCCCTTTTGATTGCTGTTTTTTCTGTTTGTCACGAAGCTGTTTCAACCTATCTTCGAATTGAGTTCCGTATTCCTGTCGCATAAACTGTTGTTCTATCTTTAACTGGTCATTTTCTTGTTTGAAATCTCTATTGATTTCCCTACATTTCTTCAAACTTTCTTCCAGTTCGCTAATCATGCGTCTTTGTTGTTCGCATTCGTTACGTAATCTTTCTATCTCTGCTGCCAATTCTTCGTTAGTGAAATCATTCAGATCGATGGGAATGTTATGAAAGGACACTTTTCGATCCTTTGAAAGTTTATCATGTTTCTTAGATTCCTCTAAATTCTTCTTACACTCACGAAGTTGTTTATCCAAATCCTTGGATAATTTTTGATGTAAATCGGTAATTTTACGAAGCCTTTCGAGTTCTTCTTTCAATAGTAAGTTTTGTTTTTGACATTCTTGCAGTTTGGTACTTGCATCACTGTTCGTCACAACACCTCTCCCTTTATTAAAAAAAAAAAAAAACAATACAATATAAAAATTTTACGCAACATACGCAAAGTCTCCAACTCAGTCTTTAGCGCTTCGTTTTTACTTTGACAGGCCCCCAACTCGTCTTCCAATTCTTTGGATTTCATTTCTTGAACATCAAGCATGATTGATTTTTGACCACCTACCAAACAAACCGAAATAAAAGAAACCACAAATTTGGAAAAAAATACGTAATCTGAGATCTGTTTTCGAAGCATCTCTAAAACGGCTTTCACGTACTTGACTTTCCAAGTCTTGTATTCGTTTCGACTGAACGTGTTTATCAAGAGCAACTTTTTCATTTCCTGTAAAACAATAAATGGACACTAAGCAAAATTTTAAAACTATACCAACGTAAAAATTCGTTCATTTGCTGACATTCTCTCAGTCGTGCCTCGAGATCTTTGAACTTTTTCTCGTCGACATTTTTTGGTGCTTCAATGAAAATATTAATCTCAATTTCTTTACAAACCAGTTTTATACTCACGCGATTCTTGTTTTGGTAAATTTTTCAAAATTTGTTCCACGTCTCTAGCCAATTTAGCTTCATCTGCGGGAAGTCCTTTACCTAAAAAAAATATTAATCCTCCTCGTGTCACATATATTTTTTAAACATACGCATTATTTCAACTTCGGCTTTCAAGTTCCTATTTTCTGTTTCAAGATGCGAGATCTTTGTCTTAGCTTCGCGCAATTGATCCTCGAGGTGTCTAAAATTAGTCCCACTTTTACTTTTCCCTAAAAAACTCGATGAGACTTGTTAAGACTTTCCAAAAAAAAAATACCCATAAGTTTCTCGAGATCTTTCTTCATGTCTAATAATTGTGGCTGGAATTGCCCTTGCCACTCCTGCATTTTTTCCTCCACTTCCTCCAATTCGTCAAGATTTTCTTTCGTAGTTCGTCCCAATACTCCCGTCGATTTTGGTGCAGCTTCTCTCAATGATTCGTATTCGTTTATCAACGCTTCCATTTTTTTCAAACGATTTTCTTGGACGTGCGATTGAAGAGATATTTGTTCCTTGCCTACAAAGCAAAATAGCAAATTGTAGTTCTGCACTGGTTGCAAATACCCATATTTTCGAGTTGAACTTTCAGTTTCTTGATTTCGAGCTCCAAATGGTCATTTTTGAGCTTCAAAGCGTGGTTCTGCTTTTCGACATCTTTGTTCGGGATTTCGCTTTCAAGTTTTTGCCTCACTTTTGCTGTGATTTGTAAAATGAAATTAAAATTTTACTTTGGTTATAACACATACTGATACGATCCATCTCATCTTTCATGTATTGATGGTCGAGTTCCAGGTCGACATTTTTCATTTGTAGTTTTTCGTTAGCTTCGGTCAACTTTTGCACCTCTTCTTCCAGTTCGTTGACTCTCTTTTCGTTCATGCCAAATTCATAAGAGTATTTTTCCTTGTCTAAAAATTAATTACAATAAAACAAATTTCTCTGTTTAAAAAGTATAAAATGACCTGTAAGTTCGCCCCTCAAAAATTCATTTTCAATTTCTAGTTCCACAGCTCGAATTTGTAAATTTTCACTAGAACGTTTTGACTCGATGTCAATCGAGGAAATGTCTTTCGCTAAAACAGAAATCATAAAATGTATAAAATTATTTCCCAATAGAAAAAACACACATCTAATCCCATCAAGTTCCTTCTTCAGTAGAGCATTTTCCATCTCCAAGTGGGCAATTCTCGCACCTTGATCAACGTACTTGTTTAACTCTTCTTCTACATTAACCATTGCCGATTCTATCTGTGCCACTTTTACCCCTAAAAAAAAAATATTAAAGCGAAGTACATTTTAAGCAAAATAAACGTACGTTCTTCCTCCGGGATCATTTTCTTCAAATAATTATTTTCTTCTTCAAGTTGAGCATTTTTAATAATCAATTCCTTATTTATAATTTGAATTTTCATACAATTTTCTTCTTCAATAGCCTCTGAAATTATTAATTAGCGAAAATCAAAACTGCAAAAATTACCAACGCGAATCCACCTCTAGTTGTTTTTTCAAATTGTCATGATCGTCCTGTGTTTTAAGCATCCGCATTGTCAAAGTTTGTTTCTTGTCTTGACATTTACCTAGCAACTTATTCGTTTCTCTCAACCTTTGCTCCTGTTCGCGGCTCTTGAGCGAAAGTTTCTCTTTGGCTATTAACGTATCAATGTATTCCTTCTTTAGATTTTTATTCTCGATCTCTAATTTCATCAATCTTTTTTTCAAATTATGATATTTATCCTGACTTCTCGCCGACTGTCTCTCCAAGTCTCTCAATCGTTGCATTTCCTTCTCGTATGACTTATTCCCCTGGCCGACGATTCTGTCGAGGTCATTTTTCATTCGTCCATTTTCCATTTCGAGTTGAATTGTCCGAGTTTTCAGAGCCTCATTTTTCCTCTGAAGCTCTCTCAAATGCTCGACAAGATCACGGACTTTTTTATCATCCTCGGCGCTGTCATCAATCGATCCAACATCTATACATAAGGATTATTAACATAATATTAAAAAGATCTAAACTACAACCATTAAATTTATCCATCATTGTGAGCAGATTTTCATTTTCACCCTCCAATTGGGCAATTTTCCTTTCATTATTTTCGTTCTTTCTATGCGACTTTTCTAGATCATTTTTCAATTCTTTTATCAGGTTTTCGTGGGCTTCACATCCTTGTGGCAAATTTCCTCTCACTGGAAAATATGGAGTCACAAAAAATGTAAAGTAAACCTAGATAAATACCCATCAGTTTCTCAATTTCTTTTTTGAGTTTTCCCACTTCAAGATCGTAATCTCTTTGCCATTGGTGCAGTGTTTCTTCCAATTCTTTCACACGTGGGCTTTTATCATTCACACTAATATCTGAAAATCTTTTGAGTCTAATATCGGACTCAAAACTTTTCCGACTCTCTTTTAGAGCCTGCCCTAGAAGTGAAAAAATTAGAAAAATGTTTCTTTTTTATTATCAGACAGTCACTTAGCCGTTCCAGCTCCATGTTTAGGTCAGCATTTTTCCTTTGATAATCTTTTAACTGCTCTTCCAATTGTTTCGTTGATCCTATATTCTTAAAATTTTCTTTTTCTTCTTCCAAAGTGTGTAAAGTTTGGCGCATTTCGCTTAATTGTTTTTCCAACTCAGTAATATGTTTTTCTTGCAAATCGTTCGTTAATGAAACTCGTTTTTTATTAACGACACTGTCCAGATTCGCTTCGAAATTTTTAACACCGTCTAAAAGTTTTTTCACGTTGTCAGCATTTCCAGGTGTTCTTTCCAATTTATCTGGAATTATCAAAATTTGCAAAATTAATCAAGTAATATTTTTTTTCACCTATGATGTTATTGACTTGTTGTTGAACGTGAGAGACGTTATTATTAATCTGATTTTGCCAATCTTTTAAATTGTCATCGACTTGTTGTAATTGATTCACATACAATTGACTGGCTCTTGGCAATGTTTTGTCCCCTAAGACATAAAAATTAGATTAAAGTTTTTTCTTCTAATGCTTAAAAATTTTTAATACTTAAAATTTCCGACTTGAGTTTTACATTTTCTTGCTTGAGTTCTTTGTCATTATTTTGACAAATTCGCAACAAGTCTTCCAATTCGTTGACCCGTTTCTGTTCCCTTTCTAAATGATGTTTGAGATTCTCCACTAAAGTATCAGCTTGCGGTGAACTTCTTGGTATGTCAACCTCAAATTGAGCATTCTGGAGCTGTCTTTCCAAATCCCTCACTCGTGTTTTTAACCTTTCATTCTCCAATTTTTTACTTTCCAACTCCTTCAAAACTTCATGACCGACAGAAGACTCCTGAATTTTTCGCAACAACTCTGTAATCTCTTTCTTTTGCTTTTCGATTTCTCGTGTGAGAGCTTCACGTTCTTGTGAGAATGGTTCATGATTTTTCACATTTGTCGGCATGTCCAACTGTTTTTGCAGAGTCACAGCTTCCGAAATGGCAGATGTAAGCTTTGAATCAATATCTTTTATATCTTTGACATCTTCCATCAGTTTCTGTTCCGGACCATTAGTTTCGTATTTGACCATTTCTAGTTTGCTTTGTAACCGATTTATTTCTCTCACGGCGTCCTCGTATTTTTTCCTAAAATTAAACTCCTCTTCTATGTTAAGTTTGAAAGGACCGGTTTTTAAATTCCATAAAATTTTCTTGTTTTGCCCACGTTCTTTAATATAGAATTCCTTTTTTGGAGTTGCAGTTTTCGGATCAATTGGGAAATGTTTGATTTCACCATTGTCATCAATATATGTTAAATGTAGAGGTCCTAGAAACACTTTCTTCTCAATTCCATTTTCCTGAGTATAACACTCGTATTTATAATAATCTTCTTGAGGCGGCTGAAGCGACTTTCTTTTTCCTTCAGCGACACCGTATAAGTATCGATATTCAACACCACCATCTTGTTTATCTTTCTTTTCAACAAAAACAACATTTGGCAAAGTTGGATCTCTTCGCTTCTTTTGTTCTATACTTTCCCTGATTTGTTCTTTAATCATTTTATTTTCTTTTTCCTGCTTTTCTATTTTTAACTGCAATCCCATCACAGTATCAAGTCTCAGTTTCTTCTGCCTTCCTAGTTCTTCATTTAAACGGGTTATTTCTTCAGTCATTTGATTGAGTTCATTGTGGAGTCGTTCCAACTCTACAGGATCAACATAACCAGGCAAAATTTTATCCAAATACTTGCGATATTTATTCCTTTCACACTTCAAAACCTCAATTTCAACTTCAAGATCTTTTACTCTTGTTTTCAACCGACCTGCCGTCGTCGTATTCATTAAATCCTCCAACTCGCAGTGCAAACAACAAATCTCATTCTTAAGCATACTTATCACGTTTCTAAGCTCACTTAATTCCGAATCTCCGGTTGCTGCCATATCTGCCAAAATATTTTCCGTGTCTTCCCTCAATTTCTGTTCATTATCCAGTCGTTGCCTCAAAGATACTAAGTGGTTCCTCAAATCCTCAAAAGTCTTATCTTTTTCGTACAACACCTGTTTGAGGTAATCGTACATTTCCACCATTTTTTGGCTCCGTTTTGACAAATCTTCGTTGGCGGCCTTGAGTTGTGCCACTTGAATGTTTGCAGATTCGTGCAATTGGGCTGAAAGAGACCTCAAAGCAACGTTTTTGTCCATAACTCCTTTCATTTGGTCTAGATTTTCCTTGAGTTTTTTGATAGTGGCGTTAGCAAGAATAAGCTGATTTTCCAATTCACATATCTTCATTTGGTTGTCTCGTTGTGTTTCTAATCGTTCAATGTCGCACTCTTCCAGTCTTTGAGTGATTGTTGTCATTGCTTGTCTCGCCTGTGTCAACATTTCTTTCAAATGTTCGTCAGTCTTGACTATAGTAACAATAGAAGTTTCAAGTTTGGCCTTTGCAGCCTTTTCTTTTTCCAAATTTTCCGAAAGTATCTTATTGTTTTCTTCTTTCAGAGCCACAATATTGTCGTAATCTTCAATCTGTGTTTCAAGAGCTTCTATCCTATCCCTCAAAGAAGACTTCTCGTTTTGACATTTATCCAATTTCTCGCTGTATTCTTCCAAACTAGTCTCCATATTTAAGATTGTTATCTTCATTCTATTTTCTCGTTGCGACATCACTTCCATATCATCTAGAAGTTGACTAACTCGGTTATCTTGATTCACCATGTAACAATTACAATGATTTATCTCTCTTTCCAACTCCTCAACTTTTCGTGCTTTGAAGCGAAGATCGTCACAAGTGATCCTAAACTGTTCGCATTGAGCTTTACAAGCCTCGTACTCGTACTTCATATTCCCAAGACCTTGGTTTTGGTAGACTAAATCTTCATAAATTTTTGCTGTCCGTAGAAAAGCTTCTTCAAGCTTCTCACGAGAAATCCGCTCAAATTCAAGCTTTTCTTGAAGAGCTTTGATGTTTTCATCTTTCGCGTTTAGTCTTACTTTGTAACGATTGACTTTAGCTTCTAACTCTTTAATCCGTTTAGAGTCACAATTACAAGTTCCGTCATTTTCCCCACTTTGATTTGTCACAGTTGATGTTTTGGATTTGCGTTCCACATGAAGTTTTTCCGAGTTTTGGGTCAACTGATCAATGTATGATGCAAGTTTTTTCATTTGATCTACATGATTCGTGATGTAGTTCTCACAATCTTGAACTTCCTTACTTAGAATACTTCTTTCTTCTTGCAATTCGTGGATTTGGCGTTCTTTTTCTTCAAGTTTCGTGGCTAAATCCGATGTCGCTTCATCCATTATCTTGTTCTTTAATGCACACACACAATTTTTGGTGATCTTCACTATAGAGTCCTTCAAAATCTGTTTGTCTTTCATTTCGAGGTCGAGTTTTTCACGAAGGATTTCAATGGTTTCTTCTGTTTGAGCTAAATTGGTTTCGAGGTCACTGACACGACTTTTCAAATTTTGGCTGTCATAAGATTGAACGTCTGCCAACTTTTTAGTAACGATCTCAAGTTTCTTCATTTCATCAGCAATTTTGGTTTTCTGGTCTGGTCCAGCAATGAAATTGGTCGGGATATCGAGATTTGAGATTTTCAAGGGAATAGCTTGGAGCAGATTTTCATTATTAATTCTTCGAGCAAGGGAAGGTTCTGACGAGCTTCTAGGACCTATAGCAAATTTTTTTTCATTTTCATAATTTCACGAAAATGTTTAAAAACGTATATTTAACCCTTTAAGGAGTACAACAAGCATGTACATACGGTTCAGGGTTTGTTCGTCAAAAAATTCCCTTGAGGGTAGAATTAGATTTGGAAAAGTCACAACTCACACACATTCAGACAGAAACTCACTCCTTAAAAGGTTAAAATAATAACATTTTTAAAAAACGCAATTTTATTCCACAAACACATCACAATAATTTGCCACATGACCAATACAAGGACTATAACATTATTCTACTCATCTATATCAAAGGAATCGGAGCTCTTATCACCAACACCACACGAACAAGGACCTTTTTTCAGGACGCAGTTGTGCTTGTATTTATTATCGTCGGCTTTCTGCAAATAAATTAAAGCTCATTACAAATCAGTCAAAACTGAATTCAGTTTTTCTCAAATTTCTACTCACCACCACAGATAATTCTGTATGAAAGTGAGGTATACCACTCCTAACGGCGGTTTTAGGACACAAACACATGGTTCCTGACCCCTTTTCCAAAATATTTTTCAAAGTTATACTGCAATAGAAAATCAATTAAAAGGATCTCCAAATTAAAACTCACTTCAATTGTTCCAATCTCCTTTTATCTTGGAAATTCTCCTTCCTAACTAAATCCATTTCCACCTTCATATTTGCGACAGTTTTTGACTGATTGGTGTATCTACTCACAAGATCGCTATTCTTCTGTCTTTCCAACTCCAACTCTCTTTTGAACTTATTAACAGTGCTTTGAAGCGAATCAACTAGAAAAAATTACAGTCAAGAAAACAAAATAAAACCAAACCAACTTTTTTCCTTGGTATGTTGTTGTTTTAACAATAATCGATTTTCCATCTCGACTATTTTCTTAATTGTGTTGACTTTTTCGTCTTTGTGGCTACAAGGAACCAGGGGTTGATGCATCGGCAATGGCATCTGCATACAAGGCGGCGAGGGTGGCATACAGGGGGGCATTTGCTGTAAGAAATTTGTTATTGACAACTACTAGTTACAAACAACGGCAAGTGTGGCAATTTTTCATAAAGAGGGAAAGACAGACCTGGGGAACCATTTGGTATGAGGGAGGATATGGAACACATGGTTGGGGCGGTGGGCATGGGCATGGCGGCGCCTGTGGTGCTGCCACTGCACCGATAGGTATAACCATTGGTAGTTTGCCACAAATGCAAACATCGTCGAACGTCTTCATCGATAATTTCTTCTTTTTATCCTGGAATTTTATGCGTGAAAGAGGAATCTTAAATAAGGTAATAAAACCTCTTGTTCTTCTTTGATAGAGGGCTCTTTGATTGAAGGTTCTTTGATTGACGGTTCTTTGATTGAAGGTTCTTTGATTGAGGTTTCTTTGACGGGTTCTTTAACTGAAGGTGGTTTTTCTTCTTCATCTCTAGCTTCTTCAATCGGTGGTGGTGCTTCTTTTTTCGGTTGCGGTTGTGGCTTTTGCTTCTTCTCAACACTCGGACTTCGCTTCACTTTATTTATCTCCTTTAGTTCTTGTTTAAATTTCGCAGCTTCTTTTTCACGTTCATCATTTAATTTCTTCAGTTCTTCTTGGTGTTGTTTTTGTAATTTATCGATTGCCGTTTCGTTTTGCTTTTGCAAGTTTTTGATGTCTCGATCATATTGTTCTTTCAACGATGCGATCATATCATCACATTCTTTCTTACGTTTGGCTAATTCTGCTTCTAGTGCCTTTACTCTATCACCATCTTCACCCACAGGAATTTGAGCTATCTCTTGTTCTAAAACAATTAAATAAATCAAGTTTCATTTACTTGAATTATTTACCTATAGCTTTCTTTCTAAGACTATCTCCTTGAGCTTCCAACTCGGCAATACGTTTTTTCAACTCTTCATTTCCGTCCTGACACTTCTTTAAAGAATTCTCCAATTCGTTATTCTTCTTTTTGAAACCATCATTATCGCCTTGACATTTTTTCAATTTTGCTTCCAAATCACGTACACGAGCTTCTTCTTTCTCAAGACTTTGCTTAAGATCATTAAGAACTTTATCAATCTCAGGGGAAGCTTTAGGAACGTCCATTTTAGCTTTTTGCAGTTCTTTAAGCTGCTTTTCTAAATCTTCAATCGTTGATCTTAATTTCTGATTTTCCTTGTTTCTATTTTCCAATTCTTTAAGAGTTGTTGTGTCTTCAGATTTGGCCGGTTGTTTAATCTTATCTAACAAATCGGCAATTTCTTTCTTTTGAGCGGCAATTTGTTTCAAAAGATCGTCACGTTCCTTGGCAAACTCTTTGTCTTTGCTGTCATCTTTAACAACTCCAGCTCTATTAGCCAGTTCTTGTTTTAGTTTATTTAACTCATCTTTGAGACTCTTATTTTCATCCTTGAGACTTTGATTCTCGAATTTGAGACCTTTAATGTCATCTTTCAGACTGTTATTTTCATCTTTGAGACTCTTATTTTCATTCTCGGTTGCACCTTTTGACGTATCTTGCTTTGCAGCCGCCAACTCCTGTTTCAACTTATTAAGCTCATCCTTCAAACTTTTATTTTCTTTATCCAAAGCGTCCTTTGAGGCCAAATCCTGCTTCAACTTATTAAGTTCATCTTTCAAACTTTTATTCTCTTTATCAAGAGCATCTTTTGATGCCAACTCTTGCTTCAGCTTATTCAAATCTTCCTTCAAACTTTTATTTTCTTGCTCGAGACCACTTTTCGCAGCCAACTCTTGTTTTAATCTATTTGTCTCGTCTTTCAAGCTTTTGTTTTCATTCTCAAGTGCAGCTTTAACAGCTAATTCATCTTTAAGTTTTCCTATTTCTGATTCACTTTTGATCTTTTTATCCTTTGACATCTCTAATCCAGATTTAAGAAATTCATTCTCTTTTGTAACCCTTTCCATCTCGAAATGTAAATCATCGTTTTGTTTCTTAATCTTCTCTAACTCAGATTTCAGGCTATCCCCATCTTTCTTACACTTATCTAATTCGGCTTTCAGAGATTCATTTTCTTTCCGACACTTATCCAACTCCTCCCTAATAAGCTGAGCCTCTTTTCTGTACCTATCAGCATCAGTACTCACGTCTCCATGCGCCTCTTCTAATTTTTTGAACCTCAAATTATCATTTTCAATCTGTTCCATTTTTGCCTTGAGCCTATTTACCGTCTCTTCGCACTCTCGTTTCTGATTCTCTAAATCAAAATTGAGTCGGTCTATCTCGGCGTTTAAGACATTCATCTGAGCTTTTAATTTATTCAACTCGACTTGATCGACCTCACCATTCGCCGATAAAGTTTCCAAAGCTTTTTCCGCCTCTTCTCTACGCTTTCTTTCGAGCTCTAACTGTTTGGTCAAATTTTGAATAAGTTTCTCTTTTTCGGCCAAACTGGCTCGAAGCTCTTCACATTGATCTTCCAACTCGTGACTCTTCTTCGAAAGAGTGTCTTCAAGTTTATTAACTTGAGACTTGGCAGTGTCTTGCAGTTCACCTGCGATTTTACGCAACGCCTCATTCTCCTGAGCTGCTCCTTTCACTTGCTCTAAACTATGTTTGAGTTTTTTATTCTCAGCACTAAGTTTCATGATTTCTTCTTCGAGTTCTGCTATTCGTTCAGCACCGCAAGGTTGCTCGCCTGATTTGTCGCTAAGTTTTAGTTGTTCTAAAGTGTCCCTGAGACACTTATTGAGGGCATGAGATCGCATTAATTCTTCTTCTAATTCAGCAATTCTGTCAGCACCACAAGGCTGTTCAGTCATTCCTTCTTCAAGCTCTTTGATTTTTCTCAAATAATTCTCCCTTTCTAACTCTAAGCGACCCATACCAACGATATCATGCTTTTCCAATTTTTGGGTTATACATTTAATCGCACATTTGGCTTGTTTGAGCATTTGTTTCAAGTGTTCGTCACTTCGTATTGCTTTTCGTAAAGCCTCTTCCAATTTCAGTTTCACATTTTTCTCATTTTCCAAATTTTGCTTCAAGGATGTATTTGTATCTTCCAGTTCTTTGTATTTACTTTCAAGAGTTCTATAAACATTATCTTTTGCTTTTACTTCGTCTTCTAATTCATCGATTCGATTTCTGAGACAAGTCGTCTCACATGAAAGATTCTCAATGGAAGTTCGCAATTGATCCTGAACGTCTGCTAACTGCTGTTCTGATTTGGCAATAAGACAATCTTTCTTTTCTAAATGTGCTCGCATTGTTAAAACTTTAACTTTCATTTCATCCTGAGACAAACAAAATAATTAACTGATGTCAACGCGAATTGGATTACTTACCTGTTTTAACACTAAACAACTAAAGAAAAATTGCCACACTTTGAATGAAATAAAAATTTTACCTGTCTCTTGTCCAAGTCTTGAGTCAAGCAATCGATATGGCAAGCCAATCGTTTGATTTCGTCCTCTTGATTGTTCATACAGCACTCGCAATTCTCAATTTCTTTCATTAGAAGCCTCCTTTCATTCTCAAGCTCTTCTACACGTTGACACTTGGCCCGAAGCTCGTTGCATTCAGCTTCCATGTTTTTCAATTCTTCATATTTCGCTTTGTACATGGCACACTCGGCCTTAAGAGCGTCAAAACCTTGCGTCTTCTTCAACAAATCTTCATAATCTTTCTGAATTCGCATCAAATCTTCCAGACGCATCTTTAGACAGTTTCTCTCGACTTTACATATTTCGATTTCTCTCATTTTACATTTACAATTATCGTTTTCTTTCTCCAATTCAGCGATTCTGGCCAAGAGCTTATCCTTTTCGGTTGAATCACCCGCCGGTTGCACCGTCGTCGCAGCTTTGTCCCTCAACGATCGAACATCGTCCTCAAGACCCTCCATTTTGTCCAAACGCCTCCTCAAATCACTCACATCTTCCCTCAACGAATCCAAAGCTGGTTCTTTCTCCCTAAACTGATCGACTTCTTCAGGCAAGCCACTGTAACCGCCCAATTGTTGCTCCAACTGTTTCACTCTAGCTTTCAGACGATCCCTTTCTTGGGTAACATCATCCAGTTTTTTTAATTTATCTTTGATGGCGTTGTCGGCACCTGATGTTAGGCCATCTTTCAAAATATCACGCTCACGCTTCAAGTCGGCATTTTCTTGTTGAATTGCAGCCAACTGGGCGCAGTATTTTTTCAAAACCTCGACTTCGCGTTTGATGATGTTTGATTCAGGAGAAGACATCGATTTCATGGTTGCGATTTCGCGCTCCAAGGCTTCGATCTCGCCCTTGCAAGAGTCGGCAACTCCGTCATATCCTCTTGCAGTTGGTTTACCACCAGAAGGAGCCTTCGATCTCTCATCGTCGTAGGCTCGTGGACCAACTTTTTCACCAGTAACTGAGGAGTCCGTTTGTGCCCTAGATCTCTCGGCGTCGTAGGACCTTGCACCAGCAGCCGCTGGTGCGTATGAAGATGACATTCTTTGTTCTTCGTATACTTTTTCAGCTGCTGGGCTACCAGCCGACGGCAATCCCTTTTTTAGACAAAAATTATCGACTTGTGTTGGGGCAAAGCAAATTTTTACCTTAGATCTCTCTTCGTCGTATGCCTTACCAGCTGCTTTGCCACCACCAGAAGATAAGTCCTTCGTGATAAGATTATTAAATTAAGAAAAAATGCACTTTTTTATTTAGGAGTTCTTAGAACTTAATTTTAATTTTGATTTTTTTACCTTGGCTGCGTATGACGGGGAAGTTCTCCTTTCGTCGAAGGTCTTGTCAGGAGATTTTCCAACAGCAAACGATTGTTTCTTTAAAAATTGTTAATTGTCTGTCTATTTCAAATTAATTTTTTTACCTTAGGCGAGTGTGCAGGTGAGGGTCGTTTCGGACTTAATTTGCCCTCACCTCCATCCACTATATCTTTAATATTTTCCAACTTCTCGATCGCTTCGTGAGCAATGCCGTTTTGATCGCTGTAGTAATTTTCAGCATCCTGGGAACAAAATTTAGAAAATACAAATAAAAATTGGACTCTAATACCGCGAGAGCACTCTTTAAAGCAAGTAACTGATCCTCCGGCGATTTTCCTGCAAGCAAAGCTGCAGCAGCTTTCTCATCTTCTTTAGAAACAGGTCGAAATCTTGGAGACGCCCTATCCTCATAATCACTGCTATCGGTAATAAAACCAGGAGTCGATGTACCCCCAGTTGTGGTGGAATCTTCAGGAGTTGTCCGCGAACCCTATTTCATTATTAGTACCCGATTCTTACGCTTAAAATTAGTAAATCTGACCTGATATTGCCCGGTTGGGGCATCTTTGCTCCCAGCCTGATAAAAATTTATTAATTTCTGCGAAAAACTATTAATCAATTAAATACTTGTCCTTGTGGTGAAGTGCTTCTTTTTGACCTATCTGTACCACTCGTAGTCCCCGTTTCGTACTCGTCAAGATCGGAAAGCTCTGTTTTTTGGCCTCCATATCTTGTAGCTTTACCGTCTGTTCCTGCTGTTTCTGCAGCGCCTTTTTCACGTCCTTCTGTATCAAAGATTTCTCCACGTCCTCTCGCATCCGAAAGGCCTGGAACTCCTCCACGTCCTGCTGAACCGGAAACTCCTCCACGTCCTGTGGAATCGGAAACTCCTCCACGTCCTATGGAATCAGAAACTCCTCCACGTCCTGTGGAATCGGAAACTCCTCCACGTCCTTCTGTATCGGAAATTCCTCCGGTGCCAGGTTGTCCAGTGGTAACTCCAGCCCGGTCCTCTCCTGCTCTTCCTGCAGGACTTTTGCCTCTACCTGCGGTCGCCTCCTGCCCAGGTCTAGCTCCTCCCACTCCAGATGTCCCCTCCCCTGCTGTACTCCCCACAGGCTCTATGACTCGTATTGGTTTTTCCTCGTAGTGAAGGCCATGGTCTTTGATAAATTTCTTGAGCTCCTCGATTTCTCTTAGTAATCTTTTAATATCATTATTCTTATTGGCTAAGAGGATGTCGATGATTGCTTCAATCGGTATGTATTTTCCTAAAGATAAACCCTGGTGGAAAAATTAAAATTTTTGTGCTGGATTTTTGTCGCTTAAATTTAACTCACTTTCCCGTCTCCTTGTCTAACTAAATCTAAAATATGTTGTCTTCGATCTTCCGTGCTATCACACCAAGCTCTGGCATCGGTCGCCGATGTGTAGGTTTTCATCCGGCCATCGGAACGTTTCCGGTGAATTTCTATGTCGCCGGCTTCTTTGAAAACTCGGATTTTTTTGTTGACGTAGGACATTTTTGGGTTTTATGTTTTACTAATAATTTTAGACGGATTTTTCTTCAGTTGATGTCATTTAGTTAACGTCCATTTTCTTCGTTTCGTCTGACAACAAAACAAAACTTGTCAAACACGAAGCATGGAAACGAAATCAAAGGCAACTGAATGTTGAATAGTAAAATGTGAAAAGTAATCATTTTCCTACGACCTACAAATAAGTTTTTACACCCTAATTTCGGAAAGGAAAGTGGTCAATTATTTCTCAGGGAGGTAAAAATTTTACCACCCCCATAGAAACGGAAAAACATGCTAATTTAATGGCGAAACTAGGATATCAAGAGAAATTGTTAGTCTTGAAGTTTTTCTTGCTGGATCATAGGATAAATTCTATGAATCTCACTGCAGAAAAGTGTCTTATTCTCCATGGGCGGTTATTGTCCTCGACAAGTCTCGGGTAATAACTTCCACATGTGGGAGGAAAAGGTACACTTTCCTCCCTTGTAATAGAATAAATAAAATCATTAAAAGCTTTTCTTTTTACTTTTTTTTTTCTAACTAGGTATAACTTATATTTATATATCTCTATAAGTGTTTAAAAACATTTTTATGCACTAGCAGTACCTAAGGATAGTTATAGATATTCTTTCTAACACATTTTAGATTTTTTTGTAGTTATTGTATAAAATTTGGAGGTTGAGATACATCAAGAAAGCTGTTTTTATCTTCACTGATTGTAGATGTATTTTTTGTTATAAATAAAAGTCTTGTGAAATTGAAATAATTTTATTAATGTACACCATGTACAAGACAAGCAGATCTCATACAGATTTGTTGTAATTTGCCATGTTAAATTACAGGTTAGTCTAGAATACGAAGTCATTTGTAATTGACTGTACAGTATAACTATGCGGAAACTATAAGATTCATTCTCTAAATAAGATAACAATTAAAATCAACAATAAGTAGTTGACATCAACAGTTCAACATGAAAGCGTTTCAATAAGAATAAAGACTCGCATAAGATGCTGTTCACTCTATCACAGTATTCCGAACGGATTCAGAAGCCTGAGCAAACACATTCATGCAAATGCGAGTTCTGACGGCTCGCACAGTAATACTGAATTGGGCAAACCCTCCGTATCCTCTAGAAAACAGAGAATACGCCATAAACCACCTTTAACTCAATTAAATAAAAACTTTGACACTGTGAAGCTAGTTTATGAATAAAGGGCACTTTCAACCAACACCCTATACTTACACTCAGAGCACATTGCCAGGCCATCATCTCTACAAGTTAAGTCTTAAGTCAATCATTGCGCGCAGTCGTCGCGCACAAACGTCCCCTCATGGAGCGTTTGTCGCAACACCAACAAAAAAAATCGACCTGGATGACATCGAACAGTAAACAAGATAATTAAAAATGAAATAATAACTATATGTTCATAATATGTATATACACATCTAAAAAAATACATTGCAAGAAAAAATATTATCTTAATGATATTATAATTCAATCTAGATATACATATATACAGTATCCCTCGGGACATTGGCAATAACAAGTTAAAATAAATTTCAGAAACTGACAGAAATACGAGTCAACCACAAATGAGTATAGAACAGCATGCAGTGGTTGCTGATTTTCCAAATTCTTATTCTACCAGTGCTATGTAATAAGCTCAAGAGATATTAAGATATTGTCATGTAATCAGTAAGTGTTAACATGTAGGACAAATCTGGGTTAAACTAACTCTCCTCCCTCATCACTTACGCCGCATCTCTGCAAAAACCACAATCAGTAAACAACAAACTCGTAACTCGTCACCTCCAACCTTGTAACTTTTTCCATAACACTGTTAAGCCTTTGTTCCGTCACACTTGGCATCAACTTTTTCACCATTTCGCTAATAAAGCTTTCCGTAATTCCCGGACTCGCTCTCTCCGCTATCTCAAACGCGTTTTTCAACTCTTCGATGGCATCGTTTGATTTGTGCGAACTGTCGGCTGCTCGACCGTTGTAGTGATGCTTCCTCTGCAACTATAGCCCCCATAACACCAAAAAAAAAAAAACAATAGACAATCTCGCAACTTACTTCGGATATTAATGGATAGATGACACCTGATAAACATGGCGAACGGGCGTCGGTCTTGCCGCCGTTTGAATGCTCCCTCGACCTTCTATTCAGCTTCTTTTCGATCTCCAAGTCTCCTCGATGATCCAACGGACTTAACTCTCTCGAAATCCTTTTTTCCCTATCTTTAGATTCGCGCTCTCTTTCCCTCTCTCGGTCTCGCTCTTTCCGGTTGTCGGAAGGCGACTGGACAACGGACTGCGGTCTCGCCGACTGAAACAAATGACAATCAAATATTTACCCTCCTCTCAAGTCACGTCCAATTACCGGAGTGGCCTTATCAGGTCGGTAATGATTCAGATTCGAATCTTTCGGAGGCGATTTGGCGATGGTAGGTCCAGATCCGTTCTGAATTTTATTTGGAATTTTATGATTAGGAGTTAGATCTTCTTGGGGTAATTTGATTGAATGGTTGCCTTTCACCGTCATTATCCACGGATCGTCCAAATCGCTCTCTTGTTTCGGTTCCTCTCTAAAATATCAGATTTACTAAATCGGCGACAATGTCTGTGAAAATAACGTACGAATCTGAATTTTCCGATTCCGTCTCGCTTTCCTCATTTCTCGTACATCGCCATTTCTTATACCTATCGATTAGGTCTATTAAATATGAATTCTTCTTCGCTTTCCTAATAAATGGATATTTGAGCAGTTCTTTGGCTGTAGGTCTCTAAAAAAACAAAAAATTAATAAACGATTTTTAAAGAGTCAGAAGCGAACAAAAACTACGACAGAGACTCAATTTTGTACAATTATTATTAAAATTTACATTGATATCTGAGTGAAAACTCTTATTTAAAAAATTAAACCAAGGCAGTTTCTGCAAAAACATCCGCACTTACATTTTCAGGATCCTTATTCAGACACGCCTCGACGAAATCCTTAAACTGTTTCGTATAACTCCCCGTTAATTGCGGAGGATTATTTTTCGGAATAAGGAATAGCACTCTCATCGGGTGCAATTCGGAATTTGGGGGTTCCCCTTTCGCCAATTCGATCGCCGTTATGCCCAAACTCCAAATATCAGCCTTAGAATCGTACGCCGACTGTTTAATGACTTCCGGTGCCATCCAAAATGGCGTTCCGACAAAAGTGTTGCGTTTGCTGGTGGTGTTGGTGAGTTGTCCGGCGACACCGAAATCGGCCAACTTCACATCACCCATTTCGCTCAATAAAACATTAGCAGCTTTAATGTCCCGATGGAGTTTTCGTTCGCTGTGGAGGTAATCGAGACCTTTGAGGACTTCGCGGAGGATGATCGCGATGTGCATTTCTTCGAAATTGCCGGCTTTCATCAGGTCCAGTGCCGATCCGCCGCCCAGGTACTCCATGATGATCCATAGTTTGGTTCCCTGAGGATCGAAAACGTAGGTTACGAGGGGAGAGAAATTGCCAATCTTCGAGAGAAGGTGAATTATTCATTGGAGTGGTTCGGGAAGGACGGGATTTAATGAAACCAATACTCGCAGGCGAGATTTATTGGCGTTTTAATTTATTTTGTATCGCTTTGGCTTTAACACACGAATAATTTTATCGTTTGTGAGTCACTTAAAACGCAAACTGTCGCTTGATAAAACAATGATTCAGAATGAATAAAAATGTTAAAAGGTTTTGTTTTACTGTTGCGACAGACATGGGTAATTTATAAGCGAACAATAAAGTCACTCTTCTATAATTTATATGCCACAGAAAAGAAAGGTTAAATGTGGAGTAATTTGCAGCAATAAAATTTTTATCTGATTAAACGAATTTGACATATTGTACGTCAGTCAATACTGGCAGATTAGGTCAAGAATCTTATCAAGGTAAAAATATCATTTTAACTTTCATTTTGCAATTGTTTTTAGTATAAACTTCAGATTCTCAACTTTCTACAAGGCAATTGAAATTAGATATTTTTTAGATAAACGGCTAAGTGCACAAGTAAATTCCATTCAAGATCTATAAAATAAAAACGTAAATTTGAGTGAAAGTTAAAAAAACCTATGACTTACGTTGCTAAAAATTTATAAAAACATTGCTACAATTTATGACAAAGATTATATGTACCTATCTATTAATTAAATTTTTATTTTTAAAAATCAAGACATAAGTGAAAAACTAGCCGTTCTTGTTTAAAATCAGTGAAACACATCATCTCAGATGGATAACCCTACACCTCTAATTACAATTACAAAGAGCACTAACAAGTTTTATAAAAAAAAATTTGTTGGTTGCCACAGTATTATCGCCACATTTAAATTTTAAATTGTACTCGTAAACTAAAATTGTCTAATATAATATGTTTTTAGTGGGGGGCAAACCATAGATAAAAAATAAACAACAAAATGATATTCCGGTGATAAATGTGCCAAATTTCCTCCATTCATTGTGCAAAATTTAATCAAGGACGCGAGCTCTGCATCAATTAATTGCAGGTACTTGAAAATGTGTTACAATTTAAAAGATAGCCTATATGTATAAATAAGGAATTTAAAAAATAACATAAAATTTCGAAATATATACGTATGTATGTATTAAATTACACGAGATACGCAACCTGTATAATAAAACAAAAACATTCCATTTGTCGTTATCATTTATCACAGCAAAAATCCACTGAAATCTGGACAATTTTTGTAAAAATCATTTCATAATTTATAACAACAAACATAACAACAAACCATACGCAACGTCGGCGACGCAGCGCTTGAAAAAAAAATCGCAATCGTAAAGCAACGAGACGTCCATAAAATTATTGTCCGGACAGTTAACGACGCGTCGTTTTGCATTCAAATTAATAAATTTAATATCATGTCCTGCGACCTCCTCGCAGCTGCAATTGTATGCAGAAAAGGAAGATAATTTGCATAGCTGTAGCCGAGGCACAAAGTCCATAAATGAAAAACCAGTCATAAACATCCAAAATTGACAATATACGTGTTGATAGGGTAAGTTTGTTTTTCGCCCTAGGTAAATAAAGCGAACTTTACCAGACCACCCGTACGTTCTATTTTTTTCCGATGTGTATGGATCGTTGTTGAAACGAGCAATAAAGTCCAATTATTTAATTAGAAGATGAAAAAACTTGTTTATGAAATTATGTTGTTGTTATATTGGTGTCTTATTATTGCATTGTTGTCATTATTGCTATAATGACTGCTGACGTGACTAAAGCACTGTCATCAAGATTGATATTGCTATCAAAAGTATGGATTTCGGATTTCTACCAGATTTTTTTGCTGGAAGCTGCTCTGTTCTCGTTGCGTATGTGGCTGTTGAAACGTTGAATTAAGTCACGAATTACTTAATTAAAAGCGGAGGTAATCAACCAAACCAATATGGCGTCGGCTCGGTGCTCTAATAACAAAGTAACGTTGGTCGAATTAGCTCGAACGAAATGAGTCACGATCTGACTCTGTGAGGTAATACGCGTCGTGCGAAACGACAGGACAATTTCCAATTTATTGGGCGAAATCGGCAAGGACTGCGATCTAATCTCCTTTTGTATTCAAATTGAAAATGTTTAGAAAAGCGGGTTGTGGAAGGATTTCCGTTTGCGGGTCGCATAAGCCTTAGCGTTAATTAATTGCGTTGTTGCCTGCTGGTGGCGTCAGTTCGAATGCGAATAAGGTTGATAAAAATATGACTTGTACTATAAAAAATCCATTTACGGTACAAAACAATGATATGGGAAACTTTTACTTCAGTTGATTTCACAACTAACACGTTGTTTCTTTGAATTTATGCGTAAGGCACGTGGTTTTCGTGACAACTGATGGAGGAAATGCACTCAAAACACAAAACAAAGAATTCAGGAAGGTTAACAACGGTCGCGCTAAAAATGGGCATAGAAAAGGTGCCGGTAGTTTGACAAATGTTAGATTTTGAGTTCCAAATTTTTGTATTTTTTATAAAAGAAGAGAAAAGATGTAAAAAGGTAATTTA